TCACGTAATCTGCCTCTGGCCGTTGTCAGATTATTAGCTCAAAAAGGAATCTTCGTAACCCACAAACCGGACATCACTTTACGGAAACTGATTTCAAGGCCGAAGGACAGCCAAGACAGGACCAAGGGAACCAATGTGATATACCAATTCAACTGTAACAACTGCAAAGATTTCCCTGTCGGACAATCTGGGAGGAAATTATGCATGCGAATAAAATGAAATATATAAATATAAATGTACATAAAAATAAAGTATGCACGCTAACGCGGCCGTCAGAAAACATAGCCCTCTGTCCTTGCTATCCGTACCTCAAGACCAAGGTCACAAATTCATTCTGTAAAGCGTAAAAATCTTGGCGCATATAGACGGGAGACACGGAGGGAGATTTCTGGAAACATGATACTCCTTGACGGATTCAATCACTCGGCGCACTGAACTAGATCCAATGTACCCATCATTACGTGCAAAGGACCAATATCTTAACCGGAGTGTTCAAAGAGAGTCGACTATCGGATTAACAAACCAGGAAACAATAAACTCTTTGTTGTCCGATCAGCAAATGTCACGAACTGGACCTCAGAGAGGTCACAGCACTTCAGCACCCACTCGACTGCGCACTGACGATGTCCCCTCGACTGGGAACGAAACGTTTGCAAGCCAATCGCCAAGCTCAACGAATAGATCAACTGTCATCTGATCAACCACCACTTCAGCACCGAACAGAGTACGAGAGCAGGGGAGGCCAAGGTAAAAAGGTCACGTTGTCATCTACCATTTAGGACACAGGATAGCAGGTCCATCTGCGGGAACGCCCGCCCGGTCAACCACTCGTGACCTAAGGTCAGTCCCAGCTAGCAGCACGTACATCAGCGCACAAGCAACACAAACAGCACAACTACTGACTCATCGCTACACTCGCTCACTAACAACGCACTGATGATGTCATCCCGATCGGTAATGAAACGTTTGCAATCAAATTGCCCATCACAGTGAACGAACCAACGATCACCGACGCCACCCGAGCAACCAACGTTCTACTCAATAGGGAACTGGAGAAATCTTCTGCATGCGTGAAAATGTGTTGCCTCATGTTTGACAGCCACTACCCACTTCGTCCCACAAAATCCTCAGTATCATAGGCAGTATCTTACCGTGCCCCATCCTCCGTCTAAATTTTTGCAGTAGGCTGTTACAACATCTCTTGCTCCCTTTCCTGTTCACCCTATTCGTACTGAGTAAATTCTGCAGCCTTCTGCCTCAAAGCCTCTACCAGGAGAGCAACCTATGAGATTTTGGGCCCTTCTCGGGGAAGGGGAGGGTTAGGAACTGCTAGAATTTCGGTCCATTTCGGTTTCATTATTGAAATCTAATGTTTTGATGATCAAAGATCACTTTAGTCAGAAAAAGCAACCGATGTTAAGACTACTAAGACTTAGTGAAGCCTTAGGACAATCACCTGGTTGTATGTAGTTTGTTTACAAAGTGACAAGGGCACCGACAACATTCGTCACCTGAACCAGTGTACCAATCTGATCAGTGTTGTCTGGAAATGCAAGGTGTCCAACACTGGCGTGGGATTGTGTTCGCTCGATTAGTCCAAATAGACGCAATGTGTTCAAGAAAGGAACTATGCACCCTCTGTGTGTGAATTTTTTACAAACGGATACAGTCCACATCAGGTCGCTTTAACGAAATTGACGTTGTCTGGGTCGAAGACAGCTGCATACGATCTATGTTTTAATTGGCCACAAGCTGAGCAACTGCTCGACGCTCATTGGATCTATTCAGTTTGTTTAGGAGCTATGATTTCGAATCGACCTCGCTGTTCTTCAGGTGATTTCCAACGAGGATGTACTAGGTTAGCGGATATACACTCATTTGCAAACTAATTTGCTTTTTCAAGAGACTCAACCGGAACCCAGCTGAATCTCTCGTTTGTGATGTTTTCAGGCAACTGAATGTGCTGCACCAGGCCGCCTCATGTTCCAATCGCTACGATATTCGAGATATCGCAATACATGTATATCTTTGTAATGTACTACTCATAAGGTTGCTGAAAATTCTTTGACAACCCACAACCGGTTTCGCCCTTTTTGGGGCTCGTCAGGTAGGCGCAGTCTCCGGGTTTCCGTCAACCTTATGTTCTACTTGAAACCAAATTGCATGAAATCAGCGAAACCTGTCGTGGGCTGTCGACGGATTTTCAGCAACTTTATGAGCAGTACATTACGGGGATGTACAAGATTTCTCGACTGTTCACTACAGGTTTGCCGGGTTATGCACCATCGAGTCACCATCGAAGCTGCTCGCACAGGTACCTATGTTTCTGTTCGGTTGCATCCGTTGTTGCCTTTTTATTGACACACGAGTTTCTTCTGCCAGGACCGCTGAGTCAGTACAGATCGATTACAGGTGTTAGCATATCTGCTTAGTTGTTGCTGTGGTTTCCTGGTTAAAGGCGGATTGAGCTTAAACTGACCGAACCTTGTTCGCTGGTGGAGGCACGGCTTTTCATTTCTCAGCTAGAATGGTCGAATATCTGATATCAGTCAAGACGGCTTTTTGATGAATTCGTCATTAGTCTTGATTTCCTACACTGAAGGATATGGACCTCTATTCAGACCACGTCATCTGTCTCGTCACCTAGCTTCTTCATCTGCGTTCGGTAGATGCGACGTTTACCATGATCCCAATCTGACTAGCACTCATTTCTGAGCTGTGCGATTGATACGGGTAACACAGTGGTCCATTTGGACCAGTTTAAGGATAGCATGCAATTCTTCGTTATTGCTTGTGAATAGAGAACCTATTGGTGGTTGGAGGAATTTCGAAAGACGAGACAAATGCGGTGTTTCTTCGAAACTGTCGTTGAACCGGTTCCTGACGGATATTTGGATAGTTTATCGAAAAAAAACTAGATTACCGCAAGCGAATTTTTTGAGGTCCACCACTCGCTAGGTACCGCCCCTCCTTCTCGATGATCAGGCTTGTCCAGCAAATTCTCTGTGGTACTTTACCTATGAAACGCGATAACGAGGATGACCCTTCATCTAATTGAATGCACAGGAGGCACAGAGTCAAGTCATCGAAAGGTTGTATCGTACGGAATTTCGAATGGAAAGAAGCAATGTTCAGTGGGATTAAAAAGTTTCTTTATGAACGGATTGTCTGGTTTACGTCTGGCGCCGTATTTGGAAAGAGAAGGAAATCAGAGTAGCCGGTGATCTCTTACTGTTTGCGATTCATTTTTGTCGTCATGTGGTCAGACCAGATGAAGCAGTCACGCCGATTCCCATACATCAAGACAACAAACGGCTGTTTTCGGTCATCTATGAGCGTCAAGCAGATTAGAGTGATCCACTATCATGACAACACCTCGTTCTTCATTGTCTCATCTGGTGTTTGTTTATCAGCCTGACACAAACGTGTTCAAAGTCATGTGGGGCATAGGGATGTGCAGCTCAATCACGTTCTTTGGCACCGTGGGTCGTGATGGAATTCGAGGACAAGACTCCGCATAATTCGTTAACACTTGTGCGAAAACGTTGATGGTGAATTATTTTGGCCATGACACTTCCGGAAACCCTGATTTTTTGGGTTTTCTTTGGACTGGCCTTAATAGCATTTCGCACTCCCTAAGCACTGAGCACGTGGCATGCTGGACGTAATACACTACTCTTAAGATCGCTGATAACAACTCTTCGACAGCCCATGAGTAGTGTATTACGTCTACACATGTATCGCGATATCTCGAGTATCGTACCAACTGATACATATGGTGGCCTCGCGCAGAACATTCAACTGCTTAAAAATATCATGCGGCGAGATGGCCCAAGTGATTACAGCGTGAATTTACTGACCGGAAGTTCCGTGGTTTGAACCCGACTCTCGACTTCCCCTGTCTAGGCTTGGGGAACTTGGCAGTATCCCAGCCCTTGTGCAACTTTCGGGTAGCATGACAGTTAGGCACCGAAAGGGTGCTACAGCTGAACGATTTATTATGTATTTAATAAAAATATCATAATCGAGGTACTCAGCTGGGTTCCAGGTGTGTCCCCTGTCGAAACCAAATTAGTATGAAAATGAATGTGCGATGCATATTTTGTCCAAAAAAACATCTTAACCTACTTAGTGAAAAGTAAACTATGCCAAATTTAGGTTAACGTTCAATTGTTCTGTCAAATTGCCTAAAATGTCGGTCGATCTAAACTGACAATTAATTAATGGTCTTTCGCTTTGAACTGGTGCGTAGCTTTTTTCACAAAAAATAAGTTTGTGTTTTGAATGCAGTAGCGGAACTCTGGTAGGCATCGTTGCATGCGATCTCCTGTTTCTAGTTGTCATTCTATTGTCCGCCGTTGCGTTTCATCATCCCATCACTCCACCTTGTTGTCATGGTGACCATTGTGTCGTTGCCACATTTTAGCGTTAGGATGGAGAAATCCGAACGTACCTGAACAGTGTTTTCCTGTGAGTAGACCTCAGCGACAAGCAGGATCACTTGTTACTGATTAGAGCGGAATTTCGCGCAAAAACACCGGATGTCGAACGTTCGGAGGAAATCGTGCGGATTGTTTCTGGTAATTTCCGGCTTCTTTGAATTCCGTTAATCAACGAAGGACAACGAACCGGAATTTTGTTGGCGTCAGTCTATCGAAACTAGCGACGTCGGTTGTCGATTCTCGTTCGCCGCTCGGGAATTCGGAATCGATATGTTTAGTGCATTCATCACCGTCTAGAGATAGCGCCCTCACCAAGCGCTATATTTGTTTGGTATCTATGGAATTGTCGCAAACCCCTCCCCTGAACTATGAAGTTACTGAGGCCTTGTTAGAGACAATCCTGAATTCATGGTTAGACTGAGATCGGAGAGTTTTCGCTAGAGCCTACTGTCGTAAAATTTTTGTGTGTCCGTCCCCACTCTCCTAGCGCTTCTTCGACTACACATGGTGCCTACCTACATGTACCCATTAAACGATTTGTAATGTCTCATCTTCCAGGTTATGGATCGAGTTCATGGGTGAGAAGGGACTGGATTATGGTGGTGTACAGCGCGAATGGTTCTTTCTTCTTTCTCGGGAGATGTTCAATCCTTACTACGGTCTGTTCGAGTATTCCGCAGCGTAAGTATCTCCCATTTTTATCCCGCTATCATTTGTTTTGATGTATTCGGATTATGCAGTCGCATCTTTAAATGCATTTCGGTTTTGAGTGGGTGCAGTGAGGTTTCCTGCTGCTGACGGCTACACTGAATCCATGAGATTCCATCACCAGATGGTGTGTAGCAGCCACCACATTCCGAGACACTGCACCTCAATGACATTACGTCTTCGAACATCCATTGTCACGGAACTGAGTTGGATACTTGTACTGAGCTTATACCAGGTTGTCCTGCTGGAAGAAGAATTGATCAAGCTCGGGTTATAACTATTGATTTGCCAGCCCATGCCTCCAAAATATTGCAGGCTGTATCACGTGATCAGAACTTGTACCGGACGGTGTCGCGACAATTTGAAACAATAGGGTTTTTGTCGCTTGATTGTTTATTTCAACTCTGTGCGTGACTTTCGCAATCTGTTCTCTGAAAGCACTCACTAACTCAGGTACGAACCTGCGACCTCAGATTTTCAGCCGTATTTTCTTCAGCATTGTCCATGTGCTGAATTCTGGGCTCCGTAGATTACTTCGCATTCCTCTACATGCGATATGAAATTCAGTGGTGTAAGAAGGAATTCGGAAGAAGCAACTTTATATGGATCTGCACTGCATGGTTGGTGCCGTGTTTGAGACATTTTTTACAGGCAGGTTACTCGGTGCCCCCGGATCAGTTCAGCTACAGTTAGAACCTGTAGCCAATCCAATAACATCCGTTGGCAGTCGGTAAAATCTAAGCAGTGCTAACCGCTAGTTGGCCAGTCCAATCTGTACGGTGCATAAGCAAGCCCTACGGATTTGATGGGCTTCAGAAGCGATCTCCGAAAATGCGGTGCGTATGTCACTGTATTCCTTATCAGATGTCCCATTCCTTGTGTGTCACGTGATTCCAAAACGGGAATTCTCACCTCATGTCACTCCTATGTCCAGACAGTTGCTGTTTTCAGTCTGGGTGATATGGATTATAGTACGTGCACATTTTGAGGGTTGCGTCTAACATCAGACAACAGAAACTTTAGACCTCAGTGAATCATCTGTTTGAATGCAGAGAAAACATTTCACTTATCGATCACAGTCGGAACAATTAGGCAGTCCCTTAACGTGTTTGCACCCTCTGAAGTTTTTCGAAATTTATTAATACTGGAAGCGATGGCGAGGCAAAGCTTTTTTCTGATTCTAAGCAGGACTAGGGTAGTGTTATGTACTATCATCGTGGCGTGATAATACTATCCAGATTGGGTTATCGGGCAAGTCTGATCTGTGCTTCACTTTGGGAACATTGTGAACTTAACGGATGCTACTCAGGATCTTCTGCTTCCGAAAATTTGGGAGCGTATTTTGGGCCAAACCTCAGCAAATTTCCAAAACATTGCGATAGGGTTCTAATGATCCCACATCTATTGGTTGGGCGATATGTCTTCTTTGGGAGACGATTTTTAAAAGCGTTGCTCCGTTTCAGTTGGCGATTCTACATCACAGCAGTCGTCAGAAATTGCAAGTGAGTCATGTGACGGTTTACCAGTGCTGTTAAATTTAGGTGCATCCAAATGATCGATTCACGCCGGTTTCTTATTGAGGTTCTTATGATTTCAACTCACTATTTCCTGGTGGACAGTCGGAGTCTCAGAAGACAAAATTACACTTGGTGCATTCATCCTTTCTTCTAGAGACCGTCCATGGGGTGCGCCAAAATGTGTCCTTATCTGGAAGTGACCTTTTTGCCATAAAAGCTGATTTCCTCATGGCCTGAACATTTGCCTCGTTTGCGCGTTCTTGTATCGTTTTTTATTTTCCGAATTGATACGAGCGCAGCGTTTTTCGTGCACACTTAGGATTATTCCGGTCCCTCCAATTAGCTTGATCATAATTCCTTTACGAGGGTGTTGCGTACGGGTACGATCAACGACTATAGGCGACCTGAGAACGAGAGCACAGTCCCCAGCTATGGTGCGAGCCCAACCAGTCCTAGTGCACAGATAGAAGTCTGGACCTTTAGAGAAGAGCTTTTAGTGTCTCAACCAGAGGCGAAGTACAGCGGGCGCATCGTCAAATATATATTCTGAGTGACCTTGGGGAACAATAACTTCGTTAGAGCGCACAAAGTCCAACTGACCAATATTAAAGGTCTTTTTGGATTGAAAATCAATATAGCGCAAAAGACGCGAAATTTGAAGGTTCAAATTTTCAGAAAATAAAATGCCAGTAATTTGGAAAGTAAACGACGTTTTTTTGGGATCCTGCTATACTCAATAAATTGCCACTTTTTACGGAGGTACTGTGTCAGTGACTATAGTTTAAGGGTCTTCCAGGGATAGATATTCCAATGAAGATGAATATCGTAGGCTCATTTACTTTAGTAACAGGCTAATCGTCCGGCTGTAACACCCTTTCGGCGCCTAGCTGCCATGCCACCCAAAGGAAGCACGAGGGCTGGGATACTGCTAGGTTGCCCAAGCCTAGACAGAGGTCGGGTTCGAACCATGGACCTTGCGGTTAGTAAATTCGCACTCTAACCACTGAACCGTCTCGCCTCATGATTAAAGAGCAGTCGACAGCCTCAACTACTGGTGTATTCATATAGTCCAAATGCTTGGACGGTCATTCCATCAAGTGGTGATGGGGTATTTCGTGCTGGTGTGTACGACTCGCGTTTTTCCGGTTATCGAACGAGTTCTGATAGCTCAGACTGATTCGTCATTTTTCCCCGCCCGAACCATGGCCTTGCGGTTAGTAAATTCGCACTCTAACCACTGAACCGTCTCGCCTCATGATTAAAGAGCAGTTGACAGCCTCAACTACTGGTGTATTCATATAGTCCAAATGCTTGGACGGTCATTCCATCAAGTGGTGATGGGGTATTTCGTGCTGGTGTGTACGACTCGCGTTTTTCCGGTTATCGAACGAGTTCTGATAGCTCAGACTGATTCGTCATTTTTCCCCGCCGCAGTCAACTTCACCCTAGTAACGAATACTCCTCACTTTTGAGGTGTTCTTGCATTCACTCCGGTGGGCATAAATCAAAATGCCAAGTAGTTGGATATCACCTCCTTAAATTGTTTATAAAAGTCGTTCTGTGGCAAATTCAGTTCAGCATGTATCATACAAGTTTGATGAATCCGATGAAATTGGACTACTTGATACCTCTGCTCCGTCCATTTACCGTGCCCCCATGTTGTCACTTCTCTATCACTCCTGCCCTTCTAATCTTGTTCAACCGACTCCGGTGCAACTGTGATTGCGTGCGCTGTGTTTACAGTGACGTGGTCCTAACAAAACGCATGAAGAGCAGTGACGTTAATGAATATCAGCATGTGTCTTTCGTGTTCAATTTTGGACATCTGAAGACAGACCACTGTGCACCAAATAAGCTGATATGAGTTGTCACCCTGTAGTGATACGCATCAGGAATGATAGAATTGATATTATAGCCTGTTATATCTCTCAGATATATTGTTGTGCATTTGCTGGCTACTGGAAGCATACTCCAGTTTGTTGCCTAATCCAACACAAGTGAAAGGTGGCTTCAGAAACATCCAAAGGATGGCCGATCACGAATGTTATTCATGTTCCGTTTCGCTATTCATAAACACTCTTCACCTGGAAGTGATTTTATACGGGGTTTCCCATGTGTTTCATTTTAAAACTCTTGAAGGTTGGAGACTCTGTCCTTATGAAGTTGCGGCCTTTATAATGAAGACTTTATATAGGGAATGATGGTTGTCTGATAGTTCAATTTTATTAATGAGGGCATGTGGGTGGAATACGATGATTCAACTCGGAGTGAACTCAGAGAAATTCTTGCACCGGGTTATTTTTCCCTAAGTGTTAGTTGGAATTCCACACGGATCCCGCTTCACCGCTCGCACAAAGATGCTGCTACGGCCGAGAAGTTCATCCCATGCAAGATTGGTCAAGAATTCGGACGAGATCCGATTGATCGAAAGTCTGGACCCAGCAGCCAATCATGACCCAGTACTGGTCGAATGCCGGTTGCCAATGTTGCATCCAGAACGCGTCAGAATTTCCAGAAATTTATAGCCGCCTACGCTATATATATGGAACGCTGTGCAACTGTTCCTAACTTCTTTTTGGACGTTAATATACCTTGTGCACCCTTGGTGGTTGTTTGGACGTGAGCGCTAGCTTGGGAGGCTCAGACCAAGAACTAAGCTGAGAAAAATACCGTTACAAGATAAACAATATAGGGAGCTATTCTTCCGTTATGAAATTCAGCCCATCCAGACGCCTCTACCTGAGCCATGAACGTCATTGTCACTCCATTGAATATCTGCTCGCAGATCTTTTCTAATCGACTACTATCCATCGATCAACTTATCCTACTTACGGTCAACGCTGCATGCCATGTAGCCTGTCGGAGATGTTGTCTCAGGATAGAGCATGCGAAATCACGTGACTCGGGATGTGCTGCGTTAGTTCTCCTCGCGTCGTAGTGCATGTGACTTTATTCTGCTCTACGTGGCTGGTCGCATAATCTCAACTACTTCATTTAAACTGACTAGTGGTAAAATGTATCATGACGCGCCACGTTTGTCAGACACCCCTGATTGGGTGGATTTCACCTGCTTCTCTCCCACTTTTCAGTGACAACTATACATTACAAATCAATCCACTTTCTGGCGTGGCCAATGAGGATCACTTAAAATACTTCAAGTTCATAGGTCGCGTTGTTGGAATGGCTGTCTACCATGGCAAACTCATCGATGGCTTCTTCATCCGCCCGTTCTACAAAATGATGCTCGAGAAGACTATCACGTTGAAGGATATGGAGGCCGTCGATTCCGAGTACTACCGCAGTCTCAAGTATATCTTAGAGGAAGATCCTTCCGTTTTGGGACTGACTTTTTCCGTTGATGAGGAACACTTTGGCGAGACAGTGGAGGTTGATCTCATTCCAAATGGTCGTCAAATCCCGGTGACAAATCAGAACAAGAAACAGTACATTGAGTAAGTTTGTCCATTGTGTGGACATTCACTATATGTGGCTAGCAAAGCGAATGCAGATCATCAGTTCTCACGCCCTGTTTGCTGAGGACTTTTACCACTTTCCATCAGTTAGTCATGTGATTTCTTTCGCTCTCTCGGATTCCCTCATTTTCTGTATTTTGATGTTGTACCTATTGACTGTTTCGAAGCTTCAGATCCTCGTTTGCTAGCAGAGTCGTTTGTCTTCGAATGCCAGCTGGCCGAAAATTTATCGGAGTTCGCTCCACCAACCAGACTGTCTGAATGACACTGGTGCTCATGTTATTTCTGATGAATGATTTAACTGACCGTTCCATTATTCATGCTGTATGCAGCGCCGTCACGAGCACGCGGCCACCAAATTGTTTCCAACATTGCAATCTGACTACTGATATCCTTGATAGTAATGAATCGCCCATGTCTATTTGGCAAACCTATGGTCTTCATCAAGCAAACATCCGAAAATACCGTTTCGTTCACTGTCATTTAACCCTTTCTTACTGTTAAGTTATTTTCACATTTACATTCTTCTCGACGATACATTGAGCCTGGGAAATTTACCCCGTAGTGCTAATGGATTCGTCTATTTCACTCAGGACAAGTTCCTCGTTCAGTATTCATCTGTGCTGTGCGTTGATAATTGTTTGCCCATCCAGTTCTATGGATATTTGAAACGCTTTACGAAAGTGTTACCCAGTAGCGTAGTTTGTGCATACATGGGGCTTGTGGGCTGCGGATCTTGATCAGAGCTCTGTTTGTTCCAGGCAGACCAGTGTTGTCTCTCTGCGTGTTAAACTGGTGAGCGACACTGGAGGGTCGATCGGCAATCTGTTTGTCACTAAAGTCAAGTTTTTTGCGGATAATCTCTTGCGTGTGCGATTACTGTGCATCCATATTCTGTCCCACTCTGTCTGTCTGTGTGTGTGTTACCGCAACTGCCGGGAAGCTGATACGCACATCGAACGGTGACTTTAGAAGCATTCCTTCTTGGATTTAGGAGCGCATTTCACGTCAGATGGATATGGCATGCTGAATGAGATGCGTTATCGTCAGTCAGGCCCCAAGGTTCACTAAACTATTCGGTCATCTTTATTTTCAGATGTATCATTAGCTGGCGCTTTGTTTCTCGCATCAAACCTCAAATGTGGGCGTTTCTGGATGGATTCAAGGATTTGGTCGATTTGGAAGCGCTCAAAATATTCGATGCGAATGAACTGGAGCTTCTAATATGCGGTCTACAAGATATCAGTGTGTCTGACTGGAAAGCGAACACGTTGTACAAAGGGGAATATCATCCAAACCATCCGGTGATAGTGAACTTTTGGAAAGTGAGTCTTCGTCCAAAACCACTCCGGTCGAATTTCCATTTTATTTCGGTCGTCTTCCGATGTCAAGCACTCATCTCAATTGTCTGCTAGATTTCTGACCCGCATCTGTCTCTCGAATGTTCTAGAGACACCCTCCTTGAATAAGGCTCATGCGAAATGAATGCACAATGGCAAGGATAAAGCCAATACACTGGTGGTATTCATATGAATAAAAACCTAGTCGACCTAGCTGGACTGATTTAAAACTAGAATCGGAAACCGCTGACAGAATGTTTGAGAGTAAAATATAAGTGACCGATGATCTTCCATTTGACGGCGAATTTCATATTCATCTTGTCTGGTTGAGACATTGATTCCTGGAGAAGTGGGTAAAGGTATGTTGTAGATTATCGGCAATGTGATCTTGTGACTACTTAACCGTATGGCAGAAACTTGCTGCTGAGTAGCTGCTATTTCTGGACGGTTGCCGGATGACTTGCACCGATTTCTAGGTTTTTGTTTCCAATCGAAATTAGTTTCAGATTGCTCGGATTACGTTGCTTGTACTGAGGTAAAGGTATGGGGGTTACCATAAGAGCGCCTAAAAAGGGTATAGAAAGCAAACACTCGTGAAAGTCCCTATTGAATGTTACTCAGGCTATCAGGTAACTCAGAGAGTTTCGCGCTAAAGTAATATACCTCCTCAGAGGGTCCAGTAACTCCCCGAAGTGGCCACTTTGATGGCTCTCCTTCGAGGGACCCCCTCTCAACTGTTATGTCCAAAACTTCCACAAGCTGTGGTGGAAAATGGCATCTTGAATGGTCGGATGTTGGGGGGTGGGTGGGTGTTGAATTCCAGCGTGTTTGATTCGGTTGTGTATATATCGAAAATCAGTATCCGGACCAATCGGGTCTGGCTGTCTCTGCAAGCAACCTGAGGACCTGCTCTTCACGGTTGTAACAAGAATCTGAACCGAACAACCCGGTGTAGAGCGGTTTGTCTAGATTCTTCGGTTATTGTGATTTTTCCGACCGCGGTCACATTTCCAGCCTCACATAAGACTCCTATTGGCCTGTCTAGATTCGGGCTGCTTTCGTAAGCTTGTGATTCTTTCGTAGCTCTGCTAACTTACTTGTCTCATCCATCGTTTGAATTCCCAGCGCCTTTCGTATAACCCCAGTTTTAACTTCCACCTTGAAGCGTATGTTGTACGTTTTCTGTTGTGTTTTTGTGGTTCTTGTAGAACCACCTGTCTTTGTGGTAAGAAAATTCGGGCGACTTTCAAAAGGGGATGTTCATTGCGTTGAGACTGCCTTTACTACCATTTGTTTGAATAATACAACCGAGAATCCCGGCGCCTAACGTGAAACTCTGCCTCAAGTTGACGGATGTGCGGACTTTAAGAGCTAATTTTCAATTACGGTTCAAAGCCAAGATACAAAGCGAATTAGGGGCTGACAGTGACATATTTTTCGTTCTCTTGAGTGTTCCGCTTTCCTAGAATAGAGACCAAGAAGAAAGCAGCACAAGTTCTCAGCAACTGACACTTTTTCTCTGGTACTTCAATAAAATATAGGCAAATCATCAATGACTGTTCAATGGGAGGCCATGTACCTTTGCACTATAGATAGAATATACCGAGCGCAAGGCTTGAAACGAATCGAGACCAACTGAATTAGGACTGTAAATTCATTGAAAACGATGGTATTGTCTCCTGACCTAACCAGTCGCAGTCACTGATTGTTTTCGTACTGATTTTGCATTCCTTTGTCTGGTCTACACTGACAAGAATTGATGGATTAGAACACAGCGCTAGTAGAGGGTAGTAGACAGGTGACCGAAACGGCCAACATTCGAGCTCCATCATCAGCATTGTTCTGGCGCCCTAATTACTGGGTCTGACATGGCATAGTGTATACCAGTCACGCCTGTTGACTGCATGTAATGGCTTGTTTATCCTAATGTCGCATGTTTACTTGTTTTATAAACGACCTATCATTGATAATTTTCAAGGCTTTTTCATCAACTTTCAATTGGTAACCTTGTTAGCGCGCCTTATGACTGGCGGTAACGCCCCTTTGTGCCCCCGCTTCAAAACGCTTTGACCGCCTAATTTTCACCTAAACAATGGCTTTGGAAGATAACTTTAGGCATCATGTTCGTAGCCTATTTTATATATGTGCAACACCTGATTGTTTGTTTGCCTACATCAATCCAGGTTGACAATTATGTGGATGTATAATTCGAGTTTTTCAGGTGTGCAGATATGTAAGTGTGGTGTCTGCTAGTTGACTACTGAAGACTTTGACCGGCTTGGAGAGAAAAGCAGAGCTACAGACCTGGAACCTGCCCTATGCAGATACGAGCAAGGTTAAAAAATCGTGATTCACAAACTCGAGACGGTATGACACGCCAACAGTCAACCGTTAGGGGGCGAGATGGTTCAGTGGTTAGAACGCGAATTTACTGACCGGAAGTTCCATGGTTCGAACCCAAACTTCGGTTCTCGACTTCCTCTATCTGGGCATGGGTAACCTGGCAGTATCACAGACCTCGTGCTTCCTTCTAGCGGCATGGTAGTTAGACACCGAAAGGTTGCTACAGCTGAATTCTGATGATGAGTTAACTACTGGGATGGTCGGTCTCAAGGAGACGATACACGTCACATAGCCGCTACTGTGGAATGAACAAGAATGACGCATCGGTATTGAAACATATTTATGGTAGATTAGACGGGATGCCAAAATATTGCATACCTCGGTGAGCTTGAACCTTCCCTAAGGTTCTGAACTTTTAGCCTCGTATTCTCCACACACACCCCCCTCGACTCCACTCGGTTGGTTTACAGTCCCTCCTACTCACGCTTTGATCTTGTCTTGAGAGTTTATAATGGTTTATCCAATTACACAACGCCGCAACGGCAGGTGAACCGATGAGTAGAGTGACAGATAGAACTTTCGGGCACACTCGATTCGCGGTGTCCTAAACTCGTTCCTTAAGTTCGCTGCATCAGACAAATGTGAGCAGACCAGTATGAGGAAATTCCGCGAGCTTATTTAGTCGCTATGTGGGACATTCGAAAAGGCTTCAGCAACATCTTTCGGAAGTTTATTCCTAATAATTACTCCTAGAATAATATCGATTAAGGTTGGAACTACTGGTCTGTCGTATGCGGCGCCATCTGTTTCCTTGTAAAGACGATGTGGAAGACGTTCACAGGACACTTCTATCCACCAACGAATAATTTGTTTAGTATATGGGACTAAATAGGTGTTCATTTCCGTGAGCTCTTACAGGTCTTACTCCGTCTTTCTTCCTCCCTTTCTTGCAGGCGGTTTATACATTCACCAACGAGCTTCGCAGTCGACTCCTACAGTTTGTTACAGGAACTTCTCGTGTTCCAATGAACGGTTTTGCCGAGCTTTGGGGATCGAGTGGTCCACAAAAGTTCACCATTGAGTGTTGGGGCACTACGGAGCAACTTCCTCGAGCGCACACATGGTGAGTATTGGATGAAGATGAAGATAACTATGCCTTGAAGTAACGCATTTGGTTGTTACTGGGACTTGTGGGTAATTGGCTGTAATCAGGATTATGTCCCGTCTTGTTGTCCCACACGGATAACCCTCAGTTTATTGATTCCTCTTTGCCAAAGAGCGTACTGGCACATATTATTATGGCTCCATCGTCTTTCATAGGTGCATCCCCTTTCATGGGAGGATAGGGTTTACCATAACTTTATGACAATTGAAGATTGATCTGTCAGACACTAGTGTTAGCTGAATGTTGGGTTCGCACAGGAATCTCTCCTCCTAACAGTACCTGATGAATTGGAAGGCAGATGACGAAGACAGACGAAGTGACTCCAACTCACCGATAGTAGCGGCAGCACGAACGAGAACTTAACCCCATTCGAGGCGAAATACTCTTTCTGAATGCGAACTGCCAATCCCAGGAGCTTGAACTCTCTGGTCAAACACTCTTCTGAACTTCTTCACTGCAGACCCATTGTAGCCGCGTCCAGCCGAGCAACGTTGTGGTACTTGAGACTCACAGAGCTGTGTTTAACCTGTTTTGACGGTCCCACACGTTTTCTCTTCACAAAAGATGGCACGACAACCATCCAATAGGATACCATATGGTCATCCACGTCGCCAATTATGAAAACCGTGTTCTACATTCTATCCACTGAGCCCGGATGCACACGCTGCTGGCAAGAACAGTCACATGTAACGCATTAGTGTTGTGTCCTCACAGAGATTATTGGGTTTTCGTGCCACATTTGCGAGCGAATGGATCGTCTTTCAGAATTGTTATCTGTCAAGGTCAAACGGATTTTTGCAAGGTATATTATTACGTCCAAAGGTACAGCAACTGGCATTTTATGCATGCTTCTGTCTCATTCGACTACGCTGCGCACCCAAATTCACGTACGCGCTACAGTGATTCTCCTTCCCACGGTTTAATAGTCAATTAGTTAGTGACACCAACCGGTGTGAAAAACGCTTCTACTACTGTATGCGTTTAGCGGAGGAATTGCCTACGAAATTGCCGTCACTGTGAACGGAATATCGAAAGTTACACGGATTCCCTTAAACAAGTGGTAGTCGAAGACCTAGCGGAACAAAGTCTTAGCTAAAGAGAAATCAGTCAGGGATTCTTTGTATCAGGCCTTAGTTCGTGTTACGGATGGAAAGATCGATAACTAAGTCTTTCGCGCATGACACTGCGGGCGGCTATCTTTTTTCTCATTAGGCGACCTTAAGTGTCACTGCGGTTATGCGCTACAACGTGAAAATGAATAGCAATCTGGGTTAGAAGTGTCAACTTTAACCTGTGCCCTAGACTCTGTTTTATTATGCCCCGGGGATTCATCTAAAAGTACATGCCTTTTGTTGGCACGACTGTGAGGTTACGTACGTAAAGTATATGACCTGATATCGTTTCAAAACTTCGATCGAACGCTCATCCTGTACGTGAGCCCGAACCAGTGATTGGTAGAGTGTTTGCAACCCCTGGCTGAGTGAGCAAGTGCCGCCTTTATTATTCTGTGTAGCCATCAACCAAATAAATTCAAATTTATGTTGAACTTTGGGACACCCATTTCTTTGCTTCCTGCATTCCAACGGGTCATCACACCATTTTCCCTTTATGTTTAAGGCATGCCAACGAACGCTACAGCTGACTGCATATGAGTGCGATCGACTGGATTTGATTTATCCCAGACCCGTACGGTTATATCGTACGATCTTCCTCTATAAATGTACAATTCAATTCAGTTTATCAGCTATAAACCATGTGCCATAGCCACATTGGTTCCAGCTGCTACAGCTTCGATCACCAGAAAACGGGAAAGTGGAATATTCAACCAAGCTTTCGGGTATCTTCGGTTTGTTCGAAAATTGGGTAGCTACGTATTAAAGGCGACAGGTTTGATGCATGAGAGCCACTGACTGCGCGATTGGGCCATTTCTGCCAATGCCGTTGGTGATTTGAGTCCCGGGCTCTCCATTCAGGGAGGCGGCAGTTGCCCACTCGACCAAGTTTACTGGTTAGTGTTTTCGTCCTTCGTTGCCAGGTCATATACTGTCCACCTCTCGGTCGCTTCCAAGGCTGAGAAGAGAGAGCTGTGTGAGGCAGGCGGTCTTCTAGCATGCGGAGTACATGTCCCGACCAGCGCAACCTATGACGCGTGAGTAATTCACCTATCGCGGGAGAGTTCTTCCTTCCCAAAATCATCTGGTGTACCTCAGCATTACTAATGCTAAATTCCCACCAGACCTAACCGATGTTTCCGGGACACCGATGATCACACACTGACATCTTGCGTATGCCCTCTGCGTGTAGGGGCCACGTCTCTCATCCATAAAGCAATATCAGTCGCACCACCGCAGTGTAAACTCTTCCCTTGACAGACAACCTCACGTCATGTCGGCACCATAGGTATCGGAGGTTGGTAAAAGCTGCACTGGCCCTTCCGATTCGAGGGATAACCTTATATCCAGCCAGTCCACCAGAACTTATACAGCTGCCGAGGTGTACAAATTTATCTACCACGCTGATTAGCTCACTTGCGAACATCAGGTGTGGGTTTGATCCCACTCAGTCTTGTAGCAGCACTTTACACTTTTCAGGTCCGGGAGCATTTCGGCTCCCGATATTGCAGAGGTAGGCAGGGAAATTTTGAGCAGCATATCAGTAACAAAGTTGAAGAGGAAAGGCGAAAGAGGACAACCTTGTCTTTTAGCACGACGTGGTGAACTCGGACGAGAGCTTCCTGTACGCTCGTACGCGCCCATAGGAGGTCGCATAAAGTGCCCTCATAACGGAGAGAAATTTGTAGGGGAGACCTTTGATCACCAGACACTGCCGAAGTTGCCGACGACGGACACAGTCAAAAGCAGCCTTCAAATCCAGAAAAACTACCAACGTAGGGAGTCTGATGGAGCGGCGCTGTTCAAGGAGTTGTCTCAAGGTAAATATATGGTGGATGCATCCTCGACCAGGGGAGACCCAGCTTGTTTCTGTCTTGAATCTGTCTCTCCCGATAATCCATCAACCTTTGCAAAATAATGCTAGAGAGTATCTCAGATGCGACGGATACCAGACTGATACCACGACGGTTTTCACATGACGTTCTTACCCTCTTTTTGAAAACTGGGATGACGGTCGAGGAGCCTCATTCGGCTGGCCTTCTGTTTTAGCTCTAAATCTTAGGAAGTATGGTGGTCAGACTGTTCACCAGGACCTCTTCACCTTCTTTGAAGAGCGCGGGGTGTGGACCATCCGAGCCAGGTGCCTTGTCGTGCTTCAGGATTGAAATCTCATGCTGAATTTCATTGGTTGATGGTGCGTTGGTGTCGATGTTCCATTCGAGGTTAACTTTTCTTGGAATTGCTCAGCCCACCGCTCAAACGGCGATTGAGGAAGCCAATTGCTGTTGCGTCTTTTTCGCATATTGTCTCACTGACACCTGCCTTCTTTTGACTCGTTGGTCGGATCAGCTGAAATACGGCGTGGCTGTTGCCTGCAGTGAAGCCTTCTCCATCTCCTTGGCATTCGAAATCCACCAGGGGGCCGGCCTGGCTCGAGGGCTCAGGGAGTAGGGTGTTGCTGTCTCACTCCTGATGCGGCTGCGCACAGCAGGTGCCTTTTGAGCAGCACCAGGCTCTTTGGTTTTAAAAGTCTTTCGACCGTATTGAATAATGCGCCGGCGTTCACGGTCAACCGTTGGGCGATCCGAGTGTGCGGTTTCTGGGACCGACCTTTTCTAACCCTTCCTTCTTTGGGGGTAGGTAGCATCGCTGCTTCCATAAACATGCTGGTCGCATGGAGAAAACACCTTACTGCCTTCGCACTCCTATCGCAAAGGGTAGTACGATTTAAACTTCAGACCACCTCTCAATACGAGTATTCGCTGTTCTTCGTCGGGCTGCTCCCCGTTGACCTTCCTGGTATAGTTGGGCCTTTAGGAGCTGAGTTCCAGTCAGTATAGCCTGCAGGATCATTGCAGCACAGAATCCCGACCACCATGACAAGGCGACAGCTTTGAGTCGGGTACACACCATCCGCGATGATCATAGCCAAGCACATGCAAGTTGGAAAGCGTGAATTAGTTTTGGAGTGTATCTGCAGTAATTGGTGAATAGTTCATCTTTTGTCTACAATTATATTACCATTATTGCAATCGGGTAATTGAGTTTCTGTGACTGACTGTGCCATACTGTTTTTAATGTTTTCCTCTTCAGCTTCAATCGGTTGGACCTACCTCCTTACTCCTCATTCCGCGAGCTGCGATGCAAGTTGATTATTGCGATCGAGAATGCCGAAGGGTTCGAAGGTGTTGACTGATGACTTTGTCATCCTCTTCCCACACCACGAATCAGCTGCTGTCCATATGGATTTATCCGCTGCACACCGATTTCAGTACAACTATGCTTGTACATTTACGTGTGGCAACCGGCGATGATTCCTAGACTTCTTTACATACCGCTTGTCACAATTTCATTGCTCTTTGCTGAGCACGAACGTCGGTTTATTTTTGACGACATGTAAAACTAGTCTGCAGCCCCGTTACTATTTATAACATGGACGACCAACTTACTAGACTTGTTCGAACGCCCCGTCCCACCTATAGAGATTCTGTGGCTTTTCTCCTTTGTTCAATATTATCCGTGATAAACTCATCCTCAGACGTTTGATCATGATAGGTCTCAGTCAGTTGACTATGCATGCCCTCCTGTTCCCCCGATTTGTTCCTGACATCCTGTGTCGATAAAACCACTTTGACTCTTTGCCACCCCTTCTCAGAATTTACTCCACATTTGGGCGTACAGCCAGCGGTGGCAAGGTGATTTATTTGTTAATATAACTGCTATTCACTTGCCCTAGTCAGTTCTCCAATCTGTAGCTGTCATCTTGCATTGTAACTGCTATCACACGGGTTCCAGTTTACCGTAATGAATTTTTCAGTTGTGACAGCCTTTCAGTGCATAGCTACCACACCACCCCAGGGGAAACACGAAGGCTGAGATACTCTCACGTTGCCCAAGCCCAGATAGGAGGAATCGCGGTGCTGGGGTCGGATTCGAACCACGAACCATCTGATCAGTAGGTTTGCGCCTTAGCCACTGAGATATCTTGAGATCTCACGATTGGTTCTCTGACTGACTAGTTAGCTTGTCCCACCATAGGTGTGTATCAACGTAGTATGTACGAACAGCTCCGTTAACAATAACAAAGGAGAATCCATATGTGTGCATGACGCCAACTGATGTTTGTGAAAAGAGAATACCCATATGTTACCTGGCTTCACAAACGAACCGGCTGACGCAAGCCAGGTTCGTGTGCGTTGTTTATCATTCTATGTGCCTTGTTGTAGTTAAACTGATACCCAACACCATCGTTCTGTTGCATGATAGTGTGCAGTATTAAACTGTTGTCCTGGTAATTGATCAGGTAGCTAACAGCCCTTGTTCCTTTATCAAAAGCCTGTTCATGCGCAGATCTTGTCGGGCGTAGATTCGTGCCAGTTGCATTAAACTCGGTCCTGTCTGGTCTAACTTAGTTCAGGTTTAGACAACATTATGGGTAGACGAAACTGTTCGACTGCGAGTCCAGGGTAAATGCGACCTGGATACCACACCCCTCTTGAAGAATAAATGCTCCACCGAGCTTGAGACAGCTCATTTGTTAAGCTGCTGACTGAAAGGTCCGTGGTTCGAGCTAGTTCTAGGCTGGGGCAACCAAGTAGTACCTTCGTCCTCGTGCTTCCTGGTTGCGTGTAGGCGATGCACTGAAGGGATTCCGATGCTCGTGCAAGTTTTCTTGTATACTGGACTGACCAGATTTCAGCCAAGGTCTAAATTACACAGGAGTGAAAACTACTCAATTTCGAAAATCGTGACCTTTTTCCGGAACGAATAAACCGGAAATGTCAAATAAGCATATCCGCGGTGCTTCGAAAAGTATGTCATTTCACTATTACGGGGGGGGCGAGATGGACCAAGTGGTTACAGCGCGAATTTACTGACCGTAAGGTCCGTGGTTCGAACCCGACCTCTGCCACTCGACTTCTGTCTAGGCTTGGGCGACCTGGCAGTATCCCAGCCCTCGTGCCTCCTTCGTGTGGCATGGCAGCTAAGTGCTACAGCTGAACGATCACTACATGTAATGAACCCCCTCGATGGGACAGTTCCAAGCGAACATATTAGATCGCCCTATCCGACACCATCATTTGCAGGTTATTCGTGTCAACAAGCGAATCTGGGACCAGTAGACACAAGCAGAATGATTTATATGAAAGGAACTGAGACCGATCCCCGTGGGTGGGACCGGAAATCCTTTGAAAGAGATATACGGATCAGCTACACCGATCGACTCAACCCTTCTTGGAATCATGCCCAGGCCAAATCGTTTGATTCACCAAACCACCCATGAAGTGAACATAGTTGTTTCTAGAGATAATAACCATCCGGATAACATGTGTAATCAGTAAAACTGCGATAAGGTATGTTCTTGGATGCTCTGTGAGCTTGTCCTTCATAGTTCCACTAGATCCTCATTAACCTGAAAGCTAGCCATTGTTGGTCCGTCGTCTTAGACAGGGACGTTTTGTTTTCAAAAAAGACAACTAAACACCCATAGTTTTCTACTGTCTACACTTCGAAAAGCTGAGGACTTCTCAGCCATCGACGAATGATAACGGTCTTTGCATGGATCTCAAGACACTGGGAACCAACGACATCCGAGGAAAAGATTCCGATGCTCGTGCAAGTTTTCTTGTATACTGGACTGACCAGATTTCAGCCAAGGTCTAAATTACACAGGAGTGAAAACTACTCAATTTCGAATATCGTGACCTTTTTCCGGAACGAATAAACCGGAAATGTCAAATAAGCATATCCGCGGTGCTTCGAAAACTATATCAGTCATGAACCCCCTCGATGGGACAGTTTCAAGCGAACATATTACGTCGCCATATCCGACACCAATGAGGTGCTCCCAGTTTACGGATCGTAAACTTTCCTGGTCGTAGCCGTTCCAGTGATGGTTTAATCAAATAATTAGCGAGTATACTCATAAGCAACTTCAAGTACATTTGCATACTGAAAAAAGAGGCCGACGGTCCGATTACCGTGGTCTGCATACTAGGGACAGAGCTTCCTTAAACATGCTTTGAACTTGACATGCCGACTGTAGGTCCAAAGGCAAATCCTCCATGGGCGTTCCAGCATCATTCGGAGTCGGTCCCGTCTTCCTGAAGTGGGAGGTTAGTGGGCGCGATAGTCAGACGTTGATAAATCTCTGTGGTGCTGAGTATTTTGCTCCAATCGTTTCGTACGAGCGCTGTTTTTCCTGCAATCGCTAGACTGTATTTGGAAACACACGGCTTTCCAGTCTGTATTTGATAGTCTTTGAACTCACGCTCTATATTCATCAGCTTCATCGACAACACGGCATCAGTGTTCAACACCGGTGCTTCACTGCTGTACAACCATGATTAGTTGTCATGCTACTATTTTGTGTGCCTCCCCTGATGTCGGGTGTCTGATCACGTATCCCGTTGCTTTTAGCCGTATACGTATCCGATTATAATGAATTTCCGAGGAATTCCTCTCTTCTGAATGTAATCAGTGCTATCCAGCACACCCATACTTCGGAGTATTTTCTACATAGTGCAGCAATCCAGCGATTTATACGGGAATTTTAACCAATTGTAGTCTCCCATACATAACTCAAAGTAACGAGTACAAGAAAAATTCAAGACCCACCCTGCTCATCTCCTTACCAAAAAAGTCGAGCCGAAAAATCAAAGAAACAGATTCTGCTAATAGGTGACGTCAATTCGGTGTCTGTTCGCCGCATCGTCAATAGTTGTTTTCCTCCTCAGTGTCCACTTCTCTGATTGTTTTCTTTGTAAATAACTAACCAACATTGTCTGCAAATTAAGCTGGGACTGAAACTAGCGAGCAGTTGAAGTGTCTACCTGGAACCAGAACAGCAATGTCCACCTGAGATGACGCGTGCTTTTACTTAATAATCCAATCGTAGGCAAAACTCGACGGGTCGTTCACGTCTTGGAATAAAACAGAAATTGGCCTTCGAGAAGTATACTCATTTGCAAATCAATTTGGTTTTCACGAGAGACTCAACTGAATCTCTCGTTTATGGTATTCTACAACTGAAAGTGAAAACCAGATTGATTCGCAAATGAGTGTATTTCTCGAAAACAGTCCGATTTGGGTTCAAGTAGAACATAAGGTTGACGGAAACTCGGGGACTGTGCCTACTTGATGAGCCCCAAGAAGAGCGAAACCGGTCGTGGGCTGTCAAGGGGTTTTCAGCAACCTTGTGAGTAGTTTCCTTTATGAAGACATCCGCCTTGTTTAGACTACTAATCGCGTGTGCGAGATCCTGACGCCAAAGTAGTTAGTTAGTCTTTGCTTCAAAATTGATCAACTTTCTTCAACCTCTTCACAGACTTTTCAAACTATTGCCAGTGTCATTAGAAGTTTCACAAAAATTACTGAAAATATACGTGTTTCTATTTATCGTCCTTTTACCAGAGTGCGAATTGGGGGCAACATGTGATCGGCACGAAAACCCTTTATTAATCAAGCAAGACCATGAACCTGCTGGCTAGCGCGAGTGAGGGATAATTAGTCGTGTCTCGAATATCCCGATGCAACGCATATTGCGCGATCCTTACAGCGGAAGGGTGATGAAGGCATGCGCTCAGATGGGCGCATCCTGGACCTTAGATAACGTCTCTTAGAGAAAACCTTATTGATGTGCCCATGGATGTCTGCTAGAGGGACCAACAGGTTCCCGAGGGCATCGTCGTTTCTCTCGGGGACGGAGAGAACTAGCAAGTACTACCGCAAGCAAACAATTTTAACCGCTGCACCGCCTACTGTTGGGCTCCAAAGGTAGTTGATGGTCCGGGAGGCGAAAGCCGATTGCTAACCGAGAAGCAAGTTGATGAGACACTGGGTTAGATTGTTGACAGCTAAATTGTGATCACTGGGAATATCCGGATTCGCACAGCATGTAGATATCAACATGCGCCAATGGCCTTCACGCAATCATCCAGTTGCTATTGATTGGATGGGATTCTCAGGAGAATTGAATTGATGTATTACGATTCTTGCTGGAAATCAAATCATATAGAAAGCCGACGGTTTCTTGTTAACGCACCTTCGTAATCAAACGTAAAGGACAGCTGTTCATCAAAATTCTAATCGTTTTTTGAGATGGAAAACACAACACCCGGCACCTAGGTGCCATACAACCCAAAGTAAGCACGAGAGCTGGGATACTGCCAGATTGCCCAAGCCTAGACAGGGGAAGTTGAGGGGCACAGATGTCGGGTTCGAACCACGGACCTTCCGGTCAGTAAATTCGCGCTGTAACCACTTGGGCCATCTCGCCCCAAAAACAACGGATCCAGCAGGCTAATAAGCTAACAAGCAAACTTAAGATATGCACAGTTGTTTGCACACGAGACAGACTGTGGTAAGGCGTCTCCCTCATGAACATTGGCGGCGTCCACCACCGTATCAATCATCTCCGTGTATTGACGCTTGTTCTCAGATAATAATCATTCAGTTTTAAATCGCCTCGGCGATTAAGTGCTGTGCCACCCTAAAGTAGCATGAGGGCGGAGACGCTGCCAGATTGACCGAGCCTAGACGAGAGTCGTCGAGATCCTGAGTTGGGTTTGAACCACAGATCATCCGGTCACTAAGTTCGCGCCTTCAGGACCAGCGACAGACATGTAATCCTACCCACCGAAAGTCTCATACCAACCTGGTCGTCTAATAAACAACCGTTTGCAGAGGGGGCGTCATTTTTAGAATGCCTGCTGTTCAAAAGAACAGTATCCATTTTCTTGAAGATTTCCCCTTTCCACGATCGCTACGCTGGGGATTTTGTCAACTTGGAAGAATGGTCCATCCGGCATAGTTCTTCCATTGTGTACTAACAACCTGGACCCGGACAGCACCACTGCTGAAGAGGAGGGGGTGATCTAGTTCACCGACGACGTACGAAACATTTTCATAGTCAGGGATATTCTATCAGTTCACCCAGGGGAGTGGGGTAAACAAGGACGTTTACCAGATGGAGTCTGGAGCTCTGTGAGGGATTCTCAGCGATGTCGCTCGAAGCTTGTGGTTCAAAGCCAGCCACCTGTCAAATTTTTATTGACCGCGTCTACTCTGACAGTGTCTCGGGCTCCGAAAAAACGCTACAGCTGAACAGAAGCCCATAAGAGTCGCATAAGAGGAGATGTATCTCAACAAAACCCTTTACTTGTCCTTGTACGACGCACCGGTTATGTTAGTGAAAATGACGAGAAGTGATGCGACGGAGATCATATTTCAGAAACGAACAACTCCATCACAATGAATCTACGGAAGTATATAAGCCAGATGAAAGACTGATTCCAAATGAGAATGAAAAAAGTGCATGGAAAAAATCAAACCAAATGAACTAGGCAAACAGCTGGCTCGAGTAACGCAGGGCAGATCAGCTATTGTTTGTGCTTGGCAATCAGAGCCAACACATCGGCCACATCTTCCGAGCTGCCCAAAAATATGGGGCTGCGTTCGTGAATATCTCGCGGTTGTATATCGAGGATTGGGATCTCACCGTTTGACGCAGATCCTCCAGCTTGTTCCATCAGATAAGCCATTGGATAGCATTCATACAATAGGCGGAGCTGTTGGGACGGAGCACATGAAGTGGTGACTCATAGATCAGCAGAGAAACAACGATGCAACTATCCCATCAAAAGTAATCTAGTTTCTATGAGTGCGGATAACGTTTATTCCAAAGTTGACACATGTCTAAGAAACACCTCACACTATACGAATGACGCAAAACTTGCATTCGATGCTCCGGAAACGAACGAAGAGAAGGCGTTTCCTTTGTCTGGATCTCAGTAACTATCACTGTGAACGGCTCACCTCTGGGTGAAAAGTGAGAACAAACCAAACGGTCAGTTTTAGTGGACTAGGTGAGATAAACACAACCCACACGAGCTATGGATCATAGACAACGGTTATCGAACACCTGAAGACGTCGGTTCCCCTGCTCGAACAGGACAAGTTTCACAGCCATACAACAAAACAGCCAGTACTGTAGCCCGATACACTCATCTCTTAAGATTAGGGAATATACCGCTTTGACACTATAGGTGCCTCAAATTAGTAACCGCGACCCGAGGCTTTCCGATTCGTGCAAATTCCAAGATACATAAAATGCCCCACAAATTCCAGTGCCTTTCCCTGGATTATAAGTGGCGTGTTCAGTGACTGCATGTCTACGAGCATGACCTTACACTTTGTGGGTTCGAAACGCATACCAAATGATGGGATGACTTCAGTCAGTTTATCTAAAAGCACCTGCGCCTGCTCCTCTTCGAAGACAAGAATGATGTCGCCTGCATAACCCAGATCGACAAGCTTTTCGCCAGAGGCCATTTAAACACCAGGGTTTTAAAGACCTTCCAGCGGATCACGAAATTCAATAGCAACGGAGAGAGTGGGTATGTCTGACGAACACCGTTTTGTGTACGGAAGCTTCTGGAGATCACTCCGTATACTCTCACACCCCCGAAAGTTCGAGAACGCCAGAGTTAACGGTGATCTCATACCATCACTGTTACTTGACGTCTGATGATTCGTGGCGTCAAGTGACGTTTGAGATCAGCTGGGATATTTATCCGAAATTTGGGTAGTGCCACCGCTCGGTCTGATATGCAGTGTTTGAATAGGCCTAGTAGCGCCGTGCCACAGACAAAACTTCCAACACTATGAAATTGGATGCTGATCTCGTCCCAATATCAATTCACATCTGATGGTAGAGCATTTGGAAGAGACCCTAGAAACGATTCTGGTAAATTCGTCTATCATTCGGATCTGCCAATCTCTCAACTGCCAAGCGATTTGTCGCCACCTGGAAAACGTAGGGAGAAGCGATAGCCCAAAGAGTGAGTGATAGGAATCCACAAATGTGTTCCAAAACAATCGGCAGTGAGTTATTGATCCGCGCCACCAGTCACTAATGGCGATCTGACCGATTTGAGTTTGTGGCAGGCATGCCGCTGGAGGACACCATGTGGCCAGACGACTTCAGCTATTTCGGAAATTAGTACGGCAGAAAAACAGTCTGCGATCAGCACACAGTTGAAGAAATCGTTCACGATTGTCTGTACGTACCGAGTCTAATCCATGTTGATCACCTAATTGAGTTTCAGATACCCTAAGCCTGCCCACTTGTGCATTCATATCTCCGGAAACCATCACGATGTCTGAGCCCTTAGCTCGCCGCAGCAGGGTATTCCGGGCGTCGTAACAACCTGTCTTTGACGGCGTCGGAGCTACAGTCAGTTGGGGTGTAAGCACACACCACAAACAGACAGCGATCAGATTCCCGCTTGTGAGACTCCTTCACAGACGTTGCCAGACTAACTGCACAAAGGCGGTTATCAATGGGTACCCAGTGAAGCAAGGGTTTTTCCACCTGGTAGCTTAGGATGATACCAACCCCGGCACATCCTACCGCAATAGCCTCTGGATCAATAGGGGTGCGCAGCCGGAATCAAGTGGAGAGTGATGGGGCGGTTAGCTCAACCACTGTGCTATCATCTTAAATTCTTGTTTCTGATACACAGTGCAGCGTGAGAGCAAGAGCTGCTTGTTGTCCTGCTTGCTGCAGAGTGCAGACATTGAAGGCAGCCAGACTGACTGGGCGTCGAGGCTTGAGGATTGATTTCGAGATGCCTGAGAATGTCGGCGCCGAATGACGCGCAGATTTTGCTCGCAAAAACGATGCAGGACGAACGACGTTATCAATAGCAAGTGCTTGGCTTACGAGGAGAGTTACGAAGAGTGGGGGGTGGGAAGAATGAAAGATTATGGTGAAAGAGAAGGAAGGGAGGCGTCAGCAGTGGCATTTTTCGCTTACCCGCCCCGCGGTATGCAGGAAGTAAGGCGACACGTCTGAAAGCACCACGCGGCGGTCGGTTTAGCATGGGGTTAGTTGTGTGCGATTCACGGGCTGGAATACTACCAGGGCGCCCGTACATAAACAGGAGGACGATTAGGGTCCTCAACCAAAGCCTGTGGTTCAAAAGCCTGACCGCAAGGCAGCGGTGTTTGGCGAGAAATGCAAGTGCATTGCACTTTTTACTGGACGAATCGCCATACATGTTCAATCCCCAGCCTGGAGGACTAGGGGACTGTGCTCACCAGTGATCATCCTGGTATGGGACTCTGCTGGTGTTGCGCGGATCACCCACAGTATAGCTCGGTGTCTCGCGAGCTTTACAAGCCTTACACCACGGCAAGGTCCATTCTCTGCGTGACGGTGGAGGCTAGTAGTTTGAACGATTGATCGTTCGGCCACGAACGTGCGATTTGCCCTCAATTACACAGGATCTAGTGTCACGTGTTCACTGGATCCTCGAGTGACGACTTCATAGGAGCTAGTGAACACGTGACTCCGAGAAATGCAATCCGGGATGGGAGAAATGGCGGTATATTCTGACTGAAAGTTGAACACACTGCTGATTAGCTGCTTGTGACCGAAAGGTTAAGGGTTCCAAATACCAGCCGAGGTCACGTGGCCGAAATTCCTTGGAGTTTTAGGAGATGTGCACTGTTTACGATCCCTGATAAGGATAGACAGCTGTACAATGCTTCCCATCTTTTCAGCGTAGATCAGCGAAATTTCAGAATCTACAAACATCCTCAACACATCATCAGAGACAGCAACATCAGTATTGACAATAAAGCTTCACTGCCGTACAAAGTTTATCCAAATATACTCAAAGCCTTAGAGTGAAAAGAGTAAACGATATATGGGACCTGGTGCTCGCGCACTGCAACTATTCTGAAGTGCCTATACCTTCAAGTGCTTTAAGATAAGCTAGAAAGAAGATTGACAGCGATCAGCCATCATTTTTTTTGCATTGTCTTCAGTCAGGCGCAGGGTTACTCATGGGGGCTCAATCCTGGAACACGGGCCGCACGAGCAATACCCAAACCCTTCGTAGTCTCTTTCACGCCCTTCAGCCAAGTCTTACGCTGTCCCCGTTGCAGCTCGCGCCACTCTGAAGAAGCCACAGACAGAAAAAATCGTCTCGGTAGACGGTGCTTCGGGATCCACAGTACATGGTCGGGTCACCGCTGTATGTTTTCTACGATTGAATTACCTGATCCGCAAACAAACACCCACCATGTTTAACTCGCCACGAGTGTGTTGACGCCATCCGACACCAGCAACACATCGGTGGTCGAAAACCTGAAGAAGCTTGGCATCATCTGTCGACAGAGACCACGCCTCGAAACCATGCAATACAGCCCTTAATGTAGCCAGCTAGAAGTAATTCTTGAGACTCAGTTTGGACGCCACAAGTGATGCACATTAGCACACGTGATTCGGGTTTTCTATATTCGTGCGCTGACGTCATCAGACACCTTTCCGTCACATATAATACAATTATGGAGGTATGTAGAACACTCCGAAATCTCCAGTTCATATCCCTGAACTCCATGTTCTGAAGCATGAATTGGCACTTTGCAGGTGCAAACCGCATGCCTAAAGCTGGTAGGATGATGGTTAATTTAGTTAAAGGGGTATTGTGCTTGATTTTCGTATTCAAGATGAGCAGGATGTCGCTTGCCTAGGCCACATGGACAAGAATCTCAAAAACGATTAGAACACCGGGATTTTTAAGACCTTCCAGTAATCGCCTTATTATTGCACCCCAGATGAAGTTGGACTAAAATGGAGATGGTTGAGATTTTTGCTGGACACAACCTTCTGTAGCTGGACTTCACTGTACCACGCCCGAGGCTGTGTGAATATAGGAACCAGACTGTGTTCACAAACTTTTTGGGTATCCCTGTTAGGTAGATGTGGTTAACAGCGCTGACCAATCAACAGAATCCAATGCACCCTTGAAGTCAAGAAACATCAAGACTGTGGGTTCTACATACGGCGGAGTGGTAACCCCGCTTGATGCTCACGGGTAAAGGACTAGCGTGTCACAGTAAGACGACGAAGAATCAGTAACGCCAGGAGGCTTATTACAAACTGACACCCCGGTGGTTAATAAATTCACCGCAATCGCTCTTTTTGAAGAAGGGCACTATTATTGACTCACTCCAGTTGTCCGGGACGGTCTCTTTCTGCCATGTGGACGCAAACAATTTAGAGAAGCACTGGTTGAGGAATTCACAAAGCAGGTGAAAGGTCGTCAGAACCAGAAGCACGATGACGCCTGAGAGGAAATACACATTCAAACGCTTCTGAAGCTAAGGGAGGGTTCATATTCATCGTCCATCTTTCTGTTGAAGGCCTGCATTCCGGGTCCGGGGTAGCATGTGGCCACAAACAATACTTACCTTACCCGATTTGGAGGTTTTTGTGGCTGGGTAGAGGAAAATCCCACCATAGACGAGAGTTCGATGCACATCAGCAACCATGGAGCCAATGTATCGAGCTCCGTACGGTTTACCAGACTGGAATATAACAAAATAAAAGTTGTATGAATAGTGTTGGAAGAACCATAGAAGATAGCTCGATCAGAGAAGTTGTAAGGTAAGGAGTAAGTCAGAACTGTTGCGCGCGCGTGAAAGTTAATTATAGCATGGCTGAAAACTACTCATCACCACGGGTGCTACATGGATGGGGCACTGCCACAGTGGTTGGTGAAAGCGATGAGAGTCACGATCAGACCAAAGAGACAAAAAACAAACAAACAATCAAGTAAAGCGCCCAACAGGTGCTTTCATCCTTCTAGTTTATTGAGAGCATAAGAACACAGTAGATAGGAATTTACTGCAAACTAGTCTAAATGATATATCTATTCTGGAACTATGTCTGGTTAATTCTGAAAAAAGCATATTCCGGATCCGATCATTCTAGCAAACGAGGGTTACGCTACAAGAAAGTCTGTCCTAAACAGATGACAACACACAAGGAAGGAAAAAAACTGAAAAACTACCTTTGGGAACTTCTTCTCATGGACATATTCGACGATCGCCTGATCCCAGAGTGATGCGTAGCCTTCGTTGACTGAATAGATGTTCCCACGATGCTTTACGCGCATTCGTGATTGCGTCAAAATGAACTCCCCAACAGACTATGGGGGAGAATGGGAATATGGGGAATAAAGCGGACGCGTTTCTGAGACGAAACTTGGTATGACTTGTTCAAATAAGCACTTAACAAGAGAGGACTGATTGACAGGCAATCGAAACGACCTATAGAGAAAATTCTAGTATGCCAGTGCAGGAGATAAGAAATTCATCACTAGAACTTAGGAGGACAAAAGACAAATTGTACACACGCAGCCTTTACACAAGTACACAACATGGATGAAATGCTCGGACTAGGTATGTGAATTATGGCGACAAGATAGTAGTTCGGTTGCGGCTGTTACCGACGAAATTTTAGTCCCCAAAATGGCTTCAAAAGGCAACGGTATTACAAAAAGTTAAAACTAGGGCTCAGTAGAGCTACTTGTTGAAACAGTTCATATGCACATGAACCACAGACTATGCGACTGGGGAACGAAAGGACTTTAATTCTGTCCCGTTCCACGGATTTTCTGTCACAGAGTATGCGTCGAATTTTCCTGGGAAGATGAAAGCTCAATTCTATGCGACAAATGTTTGATAAGGAATGCTCCTGTGAATCGGACGGCATGAAGTTGGTCAAAGTAAGCGAACTGTAGAGTGTAACCATTCCGATATGTCTTCGGAGCATTGCCCGAATCTGGTGGGAACACCGGATCAGCAATTCTGAAGTACGTCGAATGGTATTCGGGAGAAATAGCTCACCCTCGATAGATGAATTGATCACACTGCACAGGTTGCGTTGGCTTGGCCACGTGCTGCGTATTCCAGTCGACCGACTTCCTCGAAGGGCTCTTTTCCCCCCGACCATGTGAAGGGGCAAGAGAGCCAGAGGCGGTCAAACAATGACTTGGCAGCGAAGTATGAAAGCCATTACCAGCAAACTCAGCTGCGCTGGTCACTGCCGTCTTCCTGGATGGGGACCCCGAGACGGGCCACATCAACGGCTGGAGACATTGTCAGACATGGCCCAGTTGCGCCCTCAGTGGCGCTCGTGCATCCAAGCTACTGCCTTCAATGCATAGCTTCTTTTCCCCCCCCCCTTGACAACTCACTGACAGTGCTGGATTTATGCACCAATTTACCAGCTCGCGCGTGCAATGCGCAGCTACTTACCCCCCAATCATCGGTGAACGAAACTGTGGCAGCTACAACCAGTGTACGACCAGTACGCGGTTATTACAGCTGATAATGATGATGATGTAACCATTCCTTTCCAGTGAGTATTTTGCCACCCGAAGATTGTCCGACACAACTCACTACTACTGATCTTATGTTTCCATAAGTATCAGTGTTTCCGAGACCCCCAAAACCGGTGTCTAACTTCTATGTGTTAATGAACATACAGCAGTAGCGGGCAGCTTGCAGTGCCACAGACTCTGTCACTAATAGAAACGCTGATACCATACAGATGCTGTGGATAGCTTGTCCTCATCATCATCGACAGCATGACATCAGCGTTCAACATTGATGCTTCGCTACCGTACAGCCATGATTAGTTGTAAGTGTCATAGTTGTACGTGGGCTGGGATACTGTCGTGGTGCTCACAGAGAACGATTAGAGTCCCTGACCAAAGCCTTCGGCTCAAAAGCCTAACCGCAAGGCAGCGGTGTTTGGCGGGAAGTGCAAATACAGAACAAGTCGCCACTTGTTCCAACTCCCAACCTGGAGGACCAGGAGACTGTGCTTGTCAGACCTCTAACCACTGACGAAACGAACCTGGGAGACTCTCTGACTGTCGCGGGGACACTCCCCAGTATAGCCCAATGGGACGCTGAGGTATGCGAACCGTCACACCACGGTAAGGTCCGGTCTCTTCGTGACGAGTGGGTAGCTAAACCTTCTCGTTTGGACGCTGTTTCGTTTCTTGCGAGCCTGTCCGTACGAAAACAGCTTCCCAAGTGGACAAATTAGACCAGCACACCGATTGGTTCACTGAGGAGCATGGGGTTTGGGAACATCAGTAGTCATGTACTAAAAGTACGGAAGTGGTTGTTGTGAGGAACTTTCTTTCATCCCGTGCATCTGTCGTGGACAGAGAATGTTCCAGTAGCACATTAGTAACACAGTGGATGAGGTGGCCTCAGAGTGAAGCTTTTCACGAGCCCCTAATTATTCCCGGAGCCATTGTAAGAGATAACTGAAACAAACACGAGGAGATTCTGGAATTTTCCATGTAGATTTCGTCCAATGCATGAAGTCAGCCTATGCTGGAAGACAAAGAAATACTATGCAGTTATTTCATCCTTACCGGGATACAGCAGAAGTGCGCGAATCTCCAACGAGACTGGAACACGTAACCTCCCGGCTAACAGCTGGGAATTAAACAGCCTTGTTCATCTCTAAGCCTTGATATGATAAACCGAGAAAAGTTGGGTAGGCGGCTTATTACTAGGCTAAAACCCGCATCCTGAGGTATTTATATCTCTACACTTCTAACGTTAGCTGAGTAGGAATAGACACTGAGAAGCCGAATAACACCGGCTCATAGGTACAACATGCGGGTTCTTGTTCGAGCAAAACAGCTGAACCTCGAATAAAGATAACTAGAAGTCATATCATCGGATAACGAAATAGGGATGGCTTGATTCACGGAGACCCAACAAATCAAATAAGCTAGAAATAGCTGTAAATAGAGCCAACCAGATGAATTTCACTAGTAGAACATAAGGTTGACGGAAACCCGGGGACTGCGCCTACCTGATGAACCCCAAGAAGGGCGAAACCGGTCGTGGGTTGTCGAGGGGTTTTCAGCAACCTTATGAGTAGTGCAATGCGAATATCTACTAGTTACCTTGCATATATCGTCTTCCAAAAGATTTGTAGCTGCAGAACATATCGGCCAAGATTATTGATCAGAAAAGTGAGTAAGTCGGCTTCCATCACTCTGTTCGAATGGGTGGCCACCTAACAGGGTTACAATCATTGAACTTTCTAAGCCTCACAACGTAGTTAAAAGCGGAAAGAGGCTAAAAACACAGTGAACAGAACAACGTGATTTAGATGCGCTTACCGGATCCAAAGTAAAACAATGAACACCGGTCCCCACGGACAACACTAACACTGTCGCACTACCATAGAGTGCGTACCCAGCGGCAACGATATTTCGACCGGTTTGGAGGGCCTCCTTTTCGGTCACCTCGCCAGTAGCACCAGCAGGACGACGAAAGATGGTGAAAATGGAACCGATGGAACCCATGCAGTCAATGTTGGACGATCCATCCAGTGGATCGAAACAAACGATGTACTTGCCCTGGGACACCAACGGGAAGAAACACCATCTATCAGGCTTGTACCACAGAATGAGTTGAACAGCAACATGGACAAACAGAACAGACTTCGAACACATCCAGAGCGGCAAAAAATAGCGGGCTACATAAACAGTAAAAAAAAACATTTAAAACTTGACTCACCATCAGAAATCCAGCCACCAAACTACTGAATCCACACATGGGGTTTCTGATGGTGCACCACCTGCTGACTAACAGCCTTCAAAGCGTAAAAATCTAACGAGGAAGCATCACACACCCAACCCTGTCCAACGGTAGGCCAGAACACAAAAACTAGACACGCGAGTGACACCAAAAACCATAGCCAGGAACAATAAGAGTATTCAATCGGAGTCACAGAACCCAACCCACGAGAACTAAATTGTTAGTATATGCTCAAACACGGGACCAAGTGGGAAAAGTGGGTTGAAGAACCGAGCTAAAACGAACGGCTCAAGAGAGGGAATAAAGATGGTTTCACCCGACACCGGGTAGCTTTCGATGGCCGGCAGTCCAGTTCGATATTATTAGCACACCACTTGTCCAATGTCGAAATTACATGTAGGCAAAGTACGGCGCAAAACGTGATACGCGGTCAAGGCGCCTGATAATCAACCCAGATCGGTGCAGCAACGCACAATCGCAGTGGCCGAAGCTTTTGCCATACGACATCGCAACCCGATCTTTTGTCAGCAAAAACGCTTTGTTCGTGTGTTGTACTTGCTATGGTCTGTTCGGAGGCCAGCCGCCCCTAATAACCGAACATCACATCATTTGAACGGATGTGTCACGTGCAGGACACGGGCCAAACGAAGGCATGCCCTGATTGGTCGGAATGCCAGCCAATCCGAGTCAACCACCTTTGACTCGACGCTTCTCGCCCCCTCACGGAGATTCCTGGCACGACTTGTGGAACACTCTGTGACTACCCTATAAACACAGTTGCGATAATTTTCCTTTTGTCTCTATAAAGGGTTGTCTGGAGCTACTGTGCCTTTTGATACACCATAGTCGGCGGAGTAGGAAACCAAGGGACCGATACAGAGCTTCACTACCGTCCACCAAGTCACAACACGGTCCAATTCACTCCCCCACAACATAACACTCTGTGCTGAGCACACAACCACAGCATCGACAAACTAAGGCCATCCTATTGTTCCTCGAGGGGTAGCCACTGTCGTTTCTTACTCGACTTCCTGTTCACGTACACCATGCTCAGTAAACAGTGTTGAATACTGCTCCCTTAGCCTTTGCAACTCTATGACTTGAGAGGACCTTGCCGAAAACATATCCGTCAACCCTTCTTTGTTCTTACGGAAAATAAGTTAATCAGAATTGTATGGGTCGCAGATGATGTTGACCGCAGCAGATGGTGCTGGATGTTTCCCGCGACCTATGTATCGGCCGCACAACCACCGAAACCCCGTTAGCAATACATTGCACTAGTGGTGACCAGACATTTGCAAGCAAACTGCGAAGCTGGACAAGAAGGTGAACAACCATCTGACTAAAAATTAAACGAACGAATTTCCAGCAACCTTACGAGTAGTGCATTACGAACATACGTGTACCGCGATATCTCGAGTATCGTAGCGACTGAAACATGAGGCGACCTGGTGCAGCACATTCAGTTGCCTGGAAACATCACAAACGAGAGATTCAACTGAGTTCCAGGTGAGTGTCTCGCAAAACCAAATTAATTTGCGAAACGAACACCCGTTTTCTTACAGCCTCAGTGCAAATTCATCGACATCATCGGAGACGCGCACCGTTTACGAGACCAATGATCAAAAACCTGAGGATGCCTCGAGTCATTTGCCCGTGTCTCGCAACCATGCAACAAGACAAACTGGTGCGCATGCCGCTTGAAACCCAGTGACAGGCCTTCTTGACACCACAAGTTTGGAAATTGGCAAATGTGATTCCGGCTTTCGAGATTCGTGCACTTATTTCATCAAGCATTTTAGTCGGAACGAATACGATTACCGAAGTGTGAAAAATTCATCACAATCTCCAGTGCCTCTCCTTGAATAACAAGGGGCATGTTTGGAAACAGACAGACGGACGCGCCGAAAGATGACATAATGGTGGTCAATTTATCCCACAGCATTTGTGCGGTGTCCCTTTCCAAGAACAGGATGATGTCACATGCGTACTCTAGATCGATATGCTCCACACCAGCAACGATGGGAAGACTCTCCACCATTTATTTCTTAATTTCGACGATGGAGTTTAACAAAAATGCCCACGTTTTATGGGGAAAACTTCATAGATTCTCAAATATACGTCAGTAGGACTTGTTCCTCTGTTGAACAAGTTGGATGTTCACGGTTCCAAGGAGAACGGCGAACATTGAAATACCATAAAATACAATCCCGAGCCGCTTTTGCGCATGAAGCGATAGCCCAAAGGTAGAAATATTTTTCCTGGCGATATTGATGAACGTCTTTTATGGAGTGAATGGCATGTTATGCCCGTTTAATGATGAAAAAGGCAGCGGTGCGATGAAAGTATCGACTTCGAGCACATCCAAACCTCAGTGGTGAGCCTCAGAGAGCAACCACAGCCCATACAAACAACGTGATTCGAACAAACCAGTACGGAAATCTCAACGTGCCAAGAAATCAGTGAATAATTGAGCGAATTAACTCGCAGTCGAAACCCACAACCTGCGCTTAGATGTAATTGACCAGTGAGCGCTGTATGTGGAACCGGAACTTTGTTCTGTCAGGTAGCGGACTGCCTAAACAACCATCAGAATGGCTGTTGCTGAACGGGATTTGCTGTGATAGCTCCGGGTGAAAATATTGTCCGTGGGACCAAACAGATAACGACCGTGTCAAATAAACGAATAGCCAAAAATACCGAAAAAGCAGAACACCAATCAGCGATTGCCTATGAAAGAATGTCCAGCAAAACTGGTTGCATATATAAATGCATCGTTATGTTGCACGTAGCAGCTTCAGACAGTATGCGCCTGCTGTTTCGTTACAGTTCAGTTATGGTTACACTGACGTGACGCTGCTGTTTGCATGTGTTTGCTGCTAGAAACATGAAGACCAATCAGGCCAAAATGTGCGAGAACCATACGGCTAGCTGCTATGCTGCACGGTTAGCTGGTGGCGTGGACAGCAAAAGGATGCATAGTGCCAACGTGAATCAAACAAGTGATCAATAGAAGGCATGTGATAGGCGAACTAAAAAAATGGCATTGAACCAGAAACATCAACTGCAAACGACACAAGCAACTAGAACTGGAGGAAGGCTCACTAATTCACGACGTTTCTAGAGTGAGGCAGGAGAAAAACAGATACGAAGATGATGAAGGTTCGTTTGTGCTAGGCTAAAAGGTTATCAGTTGTTACCAGGAAAAAAACAGAACAGAGTACATGTCAACCACACGAAGGCGGACAGAGTACGCCACTCGTGTGTGAAAGTTGATGAATATGGCTGATGTCATCACCTCCAGCATCGAGCACAGCTCGATCAAAGAGCATTCTAGAACTGTCGAGAAGACCAGTGTGCATGATTATGTCCTTCAGCCACCTAGAAGGGGCACCGAGGGTTAGAAAAAATTAACCCTTCAGCTGTGACACCCTTTCGGTGCCTAGCTGCCATGCCAAAGGAAGGAGGCAGGGGGGGTCTGAGATACTGCCAGGTTGCCCTAGCCTAGACAGGAGCATTCAAGATGATGCAGTTGTGTTCGAACCACGGATATTCCGGTCCGTAAGTTGATGCCTTAATCACTGAGCTACCTCGAGCACCGACAATGTAAGTAGCAAAGCCCATATCACTTGACTAGTGAACTGGAAGTTCGAAACTGCACGTGACGTCTACGATTTACCTCGCAAAAGAGTTCACCTTGAACAAATGTGGGTGGGATAAAGTCTGGTGTTGTGTCATGAAAAAATAGCCGACTGCATCACCTCTAGTCCGTGTTGACAGGCAGTTAGTACTAGATACTGCTGGTGGGCGAGATGGCTCAAGTGGTTGGATCGCGAATTTACTGACCGGAAGATCCGTGGTTCGAACTCGACCCCTGCCTAGGCTTGGGCAACTTGGCAGTATCCCAGCCCTCGTGCTTCCCTCGGGTGGCATGACAGCTAGGCACCGAAAGGGTGTTACAGCTGAACAGTTTAGTTACACTGCTGGTCACTCAATAAATGGCCAGTGGGATAACATAGACGATTAACAAGGGACAATAAATAGGCAACTCACTCGTCACTGCAGGGGATAAAGTTCAGAAGATTGGCTGTGTCAGACGACAAGACAAACTTAATGAGCCCTAATTGATTTGTGTCCAGGTGTGAATTCGCGATGTGCTAGGTTCCGGCTCACAAAAAATACGAAACATTTTGCTCACCAAGCATATCATACGGGGTAGTATCATACCGAGAAACTAAAAACGCACCAACACTGCTTTTGGGTGACGATGGTCGAATGAAAAAAGCATCAACACGTTTCAACTGGATCCTCCGATAGCAAGAATGTCTTCCAAAACTGCGACTTTTTCTTATAGATCAGGCTTCAACCCAATAGCTATGAGGACACGCATTAGGGAGCTGATTTGTTCGGACGATAGGCTCGAAATAGACTAGTTGAAGCGGAGTACAGATGGTCTGAAGTAACAGGTGAGGTTGTAACGGATTTGCATTGTGAATGGTCCCAATGATGGTTGAATGAGCTACCAACGCGCCCCAGAAATGCTCATAAAACGGGCCAAAAAAATGAGCCATCAGTAATCATGAAACCATGAGCCGCTGTCTCGTGGACGTATAAACACACGCAGACAAACACATCAGAAGCTACGAGCAGTCGAAACGGCTGTCCGCATACATCATAGACACATCGGCATGTTCGTTTGACCGCAAATACCGAGGGCTCAACGCCCGTAGTTTGTAGAAGCCAAACTGTACGGAGGCCAGCCGTCCCTAATTACCGAACGTCACACCATTTGGACGGATGTGTCACGTCCAAGACACGGACCAAACGAAAGCACGTCCTGATTGGTCAGAATGCCAGCCACTCCGGATCGAGCATCTTTGACTCAACGCTTCTCGTCCCCTCACGGAGATTCTGGCACAACCTTGTGGAAACACTCTGTGATTACTCTATAAGCACAGTAATAATATTTTTCCTTTGTCTCCATAAGGGGCTGTGTAGAGCTACCGTGCCTTCTGATATACCATAGTGGGCGGAACAGGAAGCCAAGGGACCGATACAGAGTTGCACTACCAGAGATAACGGAGCTGTCATATCATATCCGTGTAGTTCGTCCGCTACCGGTCCTCCTCTGATGCGCAGACCTTACCTTAGCTGCTTGCATGCGGAAGCGGCAAAATTGTTTGATACCGGTCCTCCTCTGATGCGCAGGCCTTAGCCGCTTGCATGCGGAAGCGGCAAAATTGTTTGCACAAAAATACCAAACAAGTTGTGAATCCCAAACCGAGTTTAATGTAGAAAAGTGAGTAAAACGGATGACTTTTAAAGATGCATCAACAGGTTAATGAGGGAGGAGAACCCGGACAGTAATGCAGGATATCGAATGGTGCATAACATGCAACAGACCATCAGCAACCAGGAACGCAAATGCAGGAGCAAAGGCTGGAGAAACAGTCAAAAAGTGAAGCATCTCTTTCGGCTGTAACACCTTTCCGGTGCCACACGAAGGAAGCACGAGGGCTGGGATACTGTCAGGTTGCTCAAGCCTAGACAGAAGTCAAGAGGCAGAGGTCTGGATCGAACCGCGAACCTTCCGGTCAGTAAATTCGCGCTCTAGCCACCTGAACCATCTCGCCTCAAAGTGAAGTATGATGACGAAGGTATCCTTCAAAAACTTAAGGTTCATTCTCACGGAGCGAGCTCATCCTTTTGATAGAGTCCGCCTCATAAAGTTAAAACGGCACATCGCTGGTCGCAAGTCGCCAGAATAAAAATATAGGCTTCGGCTTACGGACATGTTCAGCCGTATCTCTAACATGAAGCAATGGTCACACAACCGGTCGCGTTGCTAATTTTGTAGACAGCTCGTTGTTCTGCTCGATAACTCGATCGAGCAGAGGTTAATCCTGACCGAGTCGATATTACAAAGGAAAGCACGGCTTTAGCTATTTTCCAGGAAAGAGCATGTTGCCAGACGTTTTCGCGACTAACGGGAAAAGTACAAACTAAAAAGTTTGATAAATCTGAGGAGTATGCAAAAAATGAACGTCCAAACGGTCTGACTCAGAAAAACAGCCGAAGGTTGCTGCCGTTTCATGCATGACGGAAGGGATACAGGCACATTCCAATACAACATCGGTGTGAAAAATACAACGCTTTGAAGAATACCATTCTGAAAGTACAACACACAAGAATGGGTACCAGATGAACGGAAGCAGTGCTTTGGTGGATGGCTACGTTGGAGGTGGTGACGTTGATGGCGACAGTTCAGTGTAAAACTGAGGGTAGCAACGACAAATATGCAACACAAAAGCGCGATAGCTCAAATGAACAGTCACGCAAAACTTGGAACTAGTAGCAAACGTTTGCCAACTTACTCGAACCTAGTAAAAACACAGAAATCAAGGGTGTGTATAGATTAGAGATAGACGAAAAAGCAGGAAACAGGTCCACGCACCATTACACCATCTGCCGTTGAAGCGGAGACTATGCCAACAGTATGGGAACCAAATGCAAGCATAAAAAGCCCGTAACAAGGACGCATAGCAGAAACGATTTCCTAGGGAATGGTGGCTCACATAAAAATCAATAATGGGTGAGATAAAGATCCCAGTGGATTGGTTTTTTGTCATCCTCAACATTCTCGTCGATAGCAACATCAATATTTACACGGAAGATATACTCCCGTACAATCATAGATCGCACTAAGGTGGAAGGGAAGGACTGGGCAGAGTGGGGATCTGGTGTTAGCCTTCTAATCACTTTGACGAGTCTGCACCTCCAAACGCCTAACTGAACAATATGGATACAAGTGGGCAACACGAAAACCACTCTCATCATTTAGCACCTAGGGTTTACTAGTTATTGAACTGGCTGTAGAGTGAGTCGAGAAAAGAGCACACCGAAAGATGCAGTGTACCAAATATTTCACAGTTTCGCCAGCACCCAATTCAGTTCAGTTCAGTTCGCGCAGTTCCGTTTTTCGGATCACAAACTTTACAGTGGTTCCAACGGATACAAATACGTTCAATGAGGATAGAGAGAATCAAGAAGTGAAAGCCACGCGTTGAAGGAGATACTCGACTCTGTGTGTTCACGAGAAATGATTTCGCTTGTCCGGTATGGGAAGCAGTGAAGGGTATACAGTGAAGGTGACAACTTTGATGCAAGGTCGTCATTGGCTGTGTGACAGTCACATCTGTCAGAGTTACTAACCATTGTTTTGTCTCATTCCGCGGTCCCCACCCGGAGAGACGGCGACTGAGGGCATTCGTACTTCATTGCTAAGCCATCAACTGACCGCTTCCAAGTCAAGCTTCGAAGGGGGGCGTGAAGAGCACCAATCGTCTCGGTAGTGGACGGCAACCAAGTGCCAACATACAGGATATACCCATTTAAATTTCTGAAACCTTGAAATAAATGGCGGCATACAAGGGGCGATTTTGCCCTAGATAGGTCCGAAGAAGCTTACAAGCTCACCAATAACTTCACAAAGTTTCCATCTCGACATTTTTATGCAACTGAATGAGAAATATCTTTTCATTCATCCTATTTAGCTGTTATATGTTCTCCCAACTTGGTGGAAGATCTACCGCGATTATCATTCCTCGTCTGATCGGCAATCCCGACACCTTTGGAAAGCGAGGAGCAGTTTCCAACCGACTGCGGGAGGAATCTGGATTATGAAAACCGAAAACGGCCTGCGTGGGTTAGTTCGACTTACCACCCTGTCCGAATCTACAATGATGGCATTGTCATCCTCTTCGCTGACCAGCAGACATGTGGAATAAGACGAGGTAAGCATGTTGATGAACAGCTCGTTGGCTAGAACGTCCAACTTCTTCACCTCCTCGCCTTGGACATTTGAGGTGCCGGTAAGTCCATACCTGTGGGAGATCAATTTGACAAAAATAAGCTTTCAGTAGCTAATGTGCTCATGACAATATGGGGTGACCCGCCGGAAATCGATCATTAGAGAAGATAATACCATGTGAACATTATCTTCAAGCTATGGGAAATGAAAATCGTATCGACATGGTGCTAAAACATTCCAGTAGTACGTGTCGCCAACCAACATGTGAGGAAACATGGACTCAAAACAAGCTAGTGATGTCAAAAAGTTGACAGATTTTGAACTGCAAGTCAGGATGCGAAAAATGATAGCAAAGCTTATATGTTAGCAAGCGAACCACTCCATTTAAGGCGACAGGTGAGTAATTATCTGACGACAAACACGAATTGTGATTATACTTATTACGCAACAATTGTTCTCACTCTACTGCTCGAACCAGGTGATGGCTGCACGGATCACATCAAGTGACCGATGCCTTGGTAAGTACTTACCTTAACCCTGCTCCCTTCACAAGGGATCCACACACTTTATCAAAAGTTGAGAACTCTCATAAGTAACCCGGTCTTTTTCGCCCCTCTTGGGGCTCATCAGGTAAGTGCGGTCCCGAGTTTCCGTTAACCGTATGTTCTACTTGAACTCAAATTGAGCGAAATTCAAATTAATCAGTCATCTGCATACGAAATTGGTTTTGACGGAAGACTCATCTGCAACCCAGCTGTATCCCTCTCTCGAAACTGCTCAGCTTCAACAAGCGTATTCATGAAGAGAAACTAATTGATAGCCCAGCCCCCAAACTAAAATGGCCGGAGTTAAGTTGCATGCCTAGAAGGAACTGTAGTCCTTGATTAAGGTGCCCTCCCATCGGTACGTGAGGTCACGTGATCCAACTGAGTCTATGAATAGCTCCGGGTAAGCGCTTGCGCCAGGAACAGGCGAAATTCAGGACACCACTGAAGATGCTGCTCCCTATTATCCGTAAAATGAGCACCAACTCAGAACTGACAACCTAACCTAGTCATCCAATTTGAGCACAAGGATGCCAGTATCCGTTCTTTCTTTTGATTGAAGCATTCGCGATGGATGTCGATGAAACCAACCTTCCCCAGCTCCAGAACCACATTCTCTCTGGGTGTAAGCTGATGAACACCACATATCCCACCAAGGAGTATTGGTCTTTAGTGCATCAGACAACCATAGAGCGCAGAAAGCTGAGCACTGGAATCCAGTCTAATAAAGCGGTTTCAGCCCTGGGGGTGAGCAGAACATCATGGCGTAAATAGTAAGTCGTTGTATTGGGGCCACCAAATACCCGATAAGACATGGGGTACATGAGCTCATCGTAGGCAATTTGAGATGCAAGACTGAAACGACGTCTTGTATGCGTGTTTCGGAGGCATAACATAGGGAAAGCAAAGTTCCAGCAAAGGATGCCTGTTGGGTAACTTAACCGAGAGAACAGACGTTAAAAGAAGTAATACATATCACATATTTTTGGCTTGCTGGCAGGTTATCTTGGTTTGTCTTACTGGGCTGGAGTTTAGACAATGAACAATGGTTAGCCAGCTGATGACTGAATTGCCCGCGTGGACTTGCAGAAGGGGGGAAGGGTGCAAATGAGGGCCGGTGAACGAAAAACCGAAAGGGATTGCTTGAAACTTCTCCCTGAGCCTTCTCCTGAAAAGATTGAACCGTAAAGCAGTGAGTAATTGGGTCTCTTTTAGAGAACTCCCATACGTCCTCCCTTTTAGGACCGAATTACGTTCACGTACTTCTGGAGCATGCCCCTTCGAGCAATCATGGTTGGAGGCACTGAGCGACCAAAAGAATCGTTGGAATACATATCCATTCGGAGTGTTATGTATATGGATAGGATTGCTCCTGTCAGTGAGCAAAACTTCGTCTGACGGACTTATCAAAAGAGATTGTCCTATGTCGTTGTTTTTTGCCACTGACGCATGTGTAGGTCCTTTTGGTACAATTTTCGACGTCGGCACCAGGCTTTCCTCAGGTGCTCATCTACTGCGGATTGCGGCGTGCCAAACTTACTTATTTCTGTTATCACTACCTGGGATATCACTTTTTTCGAAAAAGGGTACACACTTATCCTGGTATAAGGATTTAACATCCGGGACATCCAAAGAGCTGACGAGGTACAACCTTCGTTCTCTTCAGTATGTTCAGCGCGACTAGTTCCACTATAATCCATGCAGTTACTTCCATATATCTTTGACGTTCGAACCGTCTCCACGCCAAAATCCATTTAACCTTCATTAATCCTCACACTTCGCAAATCCGCATTACCGAACGCTGGAACACGTTGCCGGGTATGTCACATCATCACCATCATCACTGACAGCACAACATAAACGTTTAACACCGGGGTAGTTTCTGGATGGCTCACAGATTTGTAGCGATCTCCCACTACCTACTCCAGGAATGAGTTCGCTTGCGAGGACACAGGAATGTACTTGCAGTATGCTGACCAGAAGCTCACAGTTTGCTAAGCCATCGGTACCCCTTCGTTGCGACTACATGAGTGTTCTCTTCATCTCCGTGGACATCACTAGCTTGGTTGTCATTGGAAATTATGCAACCCTGTACCGAAACCTCAGCATGTGACGTTTCCCCTGTGGTGGTAGTTGATGGGCAACTTTACACGTTTCGTTTCACGCATGTCGAGGAAGTGTCAGCCCTGTTTCCAACAATTGCTGCTGGGCGTTGATTGGCCATGAGATCAATGATTGTCAAAGCAGATCACCATCATTGTCAGCTGTAATAACCGCGTACTTGCCGTACAGTGGCTGTACTGCCACAGTTTCGTTCACCGATGATTCTGGGAGGTGGGGAAGGTGGTTGCGCATTGGAGGCGGGAGCAGAAGAATCCAGGAAATCCAAACCAATCTTATCAGAGCAAATCCATTTGTTTTTACAGCCCTCGTTCATTGTCCGTCTATTGGTCTTAGGTCCTGCCGAGTGATGTGCTAGCTCTTATCAGTAGCTACCCTTTCTGAGTAACAGCGACAAGGATAATTCAAAAACCAACATAATTTCGAGGGGCATTCTTAGACGCTGCATTCGACACGGAAGAATTGGTTTATGGTGAAGAGGTTGTCGCCCTTTCCTGACAGATTAGGACCAGCATGGATACAGTGTCTTTGCCATGCCCCTGTCGTAAGGCCGACATCAACAGACAGACCGCTGGGATGTCACGGAATACAAAGCACCTTAAGCAGTCGCTTTTATGGTCGGCCGCAGTGTTACAAAATGGTAGCCAGCAGCCTGTCTGTGTGGCATTCCTCGGTAAACCTACTTCGATTCAGAAGGTCAGGACTCTTCCCACTTACGCTTTGGATGCCGATTGCATCTCCAGAAGTTTGCGGAAAAAGACCGTCGTTCCATGTTTTGTCAGCTTCAGTATAGATGACAATTGGCGTTACGTTACCTTAGTCAGCTAGTTCCCATCGCAGTACGCCATTGTAGCTGTTGGCTGCCTCGTTTTCTGCTTCATGGCTGTTTTGGCCTTCAAATGATTCATTCTAGAACGTACTACCCGCTCGTCGTCTTTTCCACTACACCCAGAATTTGGCCTACAGGTTTCTCTTCGCCCTTCTTCTGCTGTCTCTCCATAACTCCTTAAAAGTGCCAAGTAGGATAAGTCTAGCTCGCTTAGGATTTGTGAAAAGTGGTGTATGAACCTAGTGAAGCGTCCGCGCAAATGTGCTGTTCCCATAAGCTACCTATATCATACTGTATTGCCTGCGAGTTATAGCCTACAACAAGCGGACAAAGCAGGTAGCTACCAAGCTATTTGTCCCACTTGCGAACGCGCGTCCTTTGTAAATGTCCAATGTTCTTAATCTGCTGTTATCTCATCAGAAATTCTGTTCAACGCCAAGCACACCAAAGATGGAAGCACGTACCGTAAGGTGTGTTAGGATAATTCGGCCAAACAGTCGAGAGATCACAATTAGGAAACAGAGGGTAAGGGTCTTTCACCTTCGACCGACTTGAAGCTACTGCACGCAGCTAATCGGGTTTCGGCAAGAGTGCGTCGGTTTATGACGACGGCAGCACTCGCTAGCCTTTTTTCTGATGTTAAGTAGATGCATGAAAGCCCCTTGTGCTCTCTGTCACAGCCTCGCTCGGTAGATTGTTTCACAGATTGACGACCCTCGTTGGTCTACGGATTCGGTCGTAAACTCCTATTCATAGAGAACTTAAGCTGATGCCGAAGTGTGACCGTTTTACTCGTCACCGGGAGAAAATCTTAAACTATCGTCAACGTCCCCAAATAAGATTCTCCGTGCATAAGGTCAATTCCAGATCGTTCGTGCGTCAGTGTGAACAACCGGACTAAATACGACAGTCTTTGGGAGCCTGCCTCAGTCTTCTTTCGCCAAGGTGGAATCTACTATATTAGTAAAGCGTCAGCAAACACGTGGCGGGTAGTCCATAATGCTAAAGAGATCTGGCATGTGCCAAATGTACAGGAAGGAAGGTCTCTGGGAACACATGACTGAATGACCACCTACCGGATATAACCATTCTTGAATCAACCGTTGCCTTGAAATTCGGGATAGCCATCACACTGAGACAGTTCTGTCGTTAGTTTACGAATGGAGTTCCGAAAATGACAGTGCACTGTTGCACGGGACCGCATGGCTGAGGAAAAGCACCCCGCAAGTCGACTAATCGAATAGCTTGTCTATATTATATAATTCGGCTTGCATCCTCATCCGATTTTGTTAACTTCCACAGTTTCAGGCCATTCGCACACGGACAACAACTGAAGTCAGGATTTTATGGCAGATCAGCGATGCATACTTTGAAGACCTTCGAGCCAATAATACCCCCTCACCGGATACCACTGGTGGGCGAAAATGCGCCAATGAGATTCACATGCACAGAGCACCTGTTCAAGAAGTCTTGAAGCCATTTTATTTTCAATGCCGTAGGAGACGTGTATACTACTAGTAATACAGTATAGGGCATGAGCAAGCGTTGCGTTTGCCAGTTTGATATAGATGGGTAGCGGCGTGGACACCAGTCAAATACTTAACACTCAAATGACTTAGCGGCGTCTGCTTGTATGGTGGGAAGGGGTCGAGGAGAGACAACGGTGGAAAAATCTGTGCGGACAAAACATGGTTCCAGGTTTCCCAGACCAAGGAAGAGTGGTTAGCTGAGGGAGCCCAGCTTGAACCTTTGAACCAAAATTCTGACCCATAAGCCGGTATGAGGATGAGATTTTATTCGAGAACCCTGTCTCTAACCTCCGATTTGAAAGTCTAACCCGCGAGGTAGTATGATTTTCTTGAGGGACTATACCCGGGGCTGATGACTTTATTAAGGTATAAATGTCCAACTCCTGATGCTCAGACGCACAGGTGCGTTTGGAGCCGCATCGGGTATATGACAGGGTTTTTTTTCGGATTATTCGTCGCCGGTAACTGTCAGCCGCTGGGGCATCGGAGTTTAATTTTCGGGGCCGACCTCTTAAAACCCTTTACACTCCTGCGAAAGACAACCTATGCCTCTTTAACTATGGGCATATTGGTCGCCTGCGGGGAATGTCTAACTTGTTTTAGACTGCAATCGCTGAGGACAGTACGACCTTATCGTACGGCCGCCACGTAATCAATTTACCGTGTCTTGAGCCTGCCTCGAAACATCATCCAACGCCTTGTCGAATTCCGACCATTTACCGTTTACAGAGTTCTCTGCAGCTAACTTTCGTACCCGGAGGTACCTGGTTATCAGCAGTTGGGCTACGCACGTTTACTATGCTGAAAACCATACTGTGGATCCCCTAAAGTTCATATTGTTGAAAACAATGTTGGACAGTATATTCCATCCGCCGTTCCACTACCTCCCTACTCACAGAAGTCGGAGACGTCAACCCACGAATCCATAGCCCGCTTGTCTCACGCGCTCAGCGTTGTAACAATGACGAGTTCTCATTCACGCGGCGGCTGGCAAAATGAAAAACAAAGAAGGCCTGTTGTTGTAAATGTCATGGATCCCAGTACTCATGGACAAAATTCATCTGGTCAGACAGCAAACTGTTCATAATTATCTCAGTTTCGACTGGTTCGAAGCCGAATTCTAGTTTCTGGCTTATGATCGTTCCCAGGGGTCCGGACGGTAGAGTTCGATCGACGAGTACGGATATATTTTGTCGCTTCTCAGTCAGCTGTTCTGAGGTGTCATGTCGCAGCAAAATAGTGGCAAACCAAGCTCCATCTGATTACAATACTTAGGTACGCAAACGAGGGTCCTGAAGCCGAGATCTCTCAACCGGCGTTGATTCCTAGTTTCGATGCTCACTAAACCGCTCAGTAGGCCGAGAATGAAGTTCAGAGATCCCGGTTCGACCTTAATCCAGCCCATATTTTTCCCTTTTTTAAATAAAGCACACAGCTCAAGCCCTATCCACAGCAGGTTCTGTCAAAGCTAACGTCATCTGCATATCGAGATGAACTGAATACCCATTTTCTGAGCCCCCCCCCATAGTACGTTCAGCTGTAGCACCCTATCAGTGTCTAACAGCCATGCCACCAGAACAAAGCACGATGGATGGAATGTTGCCAGGTGGTCGAGTCAAGACGCAGAGGTCGGGTTCGAAACACGGACCTTCCAGTGAGTAAATTCGCGCCCTAACAACTGAGTCACCTTTCCCTTAGTACAAACTCACTCGGATTGAACATGATCTGATAGGAACTGCCATTATATTCATTGGATAGTTCTCGATTTTAGAAAGCGTTTAGGCCAGGCTTTCACAAACACGGTTCAGAAGCTTCCCGTTCTATCTCCATCGGATGCGTGCAACGAGATTACCACTATGTCCAAGGGCTCTTCGACAGACCAGTTGGTCCGTTTATAATCTCAGGACAAGGAGAGAATAGGGTAGAAGTACACGAACTGATAGCAAAGGCTGACAATCGTACAAACTCTTGCGCCAAAAACCACAATTTTATCCCCCCACACACACACAAAGACAGCACTACGAGCTCCTGGGTACTGCAGGCCTGTCCGAGTAGTACATTGATTAAATCGCCCGTTTTAAACTAGGCTGTTCCAGCAGGTGTTCTGTTTCCAATTACGGGTAAGGCTTCAGGGCAGATCATATGGTGAAGAGTTAATCCGACCGATAAACGAAAACGAATTTCAGTAGACTTACAGAGATACCAAACCAGCTTTTCTGACGGCACTGGATACAGCCTTTATCGCTGTCTGTAGACCATTCATCAGCTGTGTCAGCTCGCCGGTTGCGGTTGGGAATTTGCTCTGCTCTTGAATAATGAACCGTGTCAGTGTCATGTAATCGGTATCCATGGTATCAAACATCGACGATTTTCTACGCGCATCATCCATTATGCTCAAATAGAGGGTGGATCAGTTGGTCGGTGGACAGCAATGGAGCAAACGGGAATCCGAGCAAGCGAACGACACGACGGCGGGTTAGACCTTAAACCTTCGGCCTCTAAATTGATAGGCTAACTGAAGCGACCAATCGCTTCAAAGTTGTAACTGCTATGGTCAGCTGGTGACAAGGGAGTCACAATGGAGTCTAACGCAATAATAGTTTACATCAACAGTTGATCTTTCAACTGTAGTCCCACCGGTGGAATCCGTGAGAAACAGGTTGTGGTTTTGATGTATAGTCTTCGTCATACTGCCCCTCGTTATAGATATTTCATGTCAGTCACTTCCCCCAAGTGTTTCAGCTGGTGTACACTATTTCGCTCATCTGATGAAATTATCACGCTGTCATATCCACGTCGAAGCACGTGGAGTCTCCAGCCTGATAGGTTAGCTCCATAGCAGCTTGAGGCCAACACCAAGGTCCCCAACACAACAGGCTGAAGGGGCCCTCGGAATATGTGATAAACGGATGACCATCGAAGGTGATCGGGGAAATGACGTTAATAAACGGTTGGTGCTGCTTTCTACATATGTGCCGCATTAAGAACGGAGTAAGCGGAGGTAACAAAATCCACCTCGGCAACATTTGTAGTGTTTTCTACCTTTCTTTTGTCTCAATCGTGACGTTACGTATTTCGTCAACCGCATAAACATTTTTGTTTGGATATGCAAAATTTACGAAACCCGCTTTTTATACTTTTACGTGCAATCCGCAAGTAGTCACGGGCTTTGAATTTCTCTTCTGATTTTTCCTGCCTTCGCTGCGGTCATTCGCCAGTTCCATGTGCTGACTCGGATGCCAAAACATTTCAGACTGCCTTCGGGTTTTCTTATATGTGGGAACTATTCAAAGGAAGACCCGTGGACAACCACAATTGGATTAGTATTTGTTTGCTGATCCGCGGCAGCGAAGTACTATTTTAAGTGAACAACTCTTAGTGGGTATATTCCATTTGAACCTCTTCATTCTTGTATATTCAATCTACCGGTGTAACGGTGGTATTACTGATGGGGAAGCACGCGAGTGTGTTGTTCGTAGAATTTCGCTTTACGTCTATTGAAAAGGGGACATCTGTCGTGGAATTTGTGGAGCCACGTTGTAACACTTGCTTGAATTTGACCGGCGAATGAGTGGAGTCAATGAATCTTCAGAAAAGTTCGGGAGAAGATGGGTGTCTAGTTTTTGTAAACAAGATGCAAATTAGAGCTTTGCTCCCCTGTTTAATGGTCTGCAACCGGTCAGTTGGCATTTCCTAATAAATACCTCCGCAGCGAAGGTCACTCCCCTTTCATTTGGTGCCGTGACCAGGATAAGGATGAAGATCCCCAGGCCGCAACCCTTTGAGGATGGGGATGTTCGGACCTTCCTGGAGGAAATGGAGGAGACTGCCGAGGCTACCGAGCTGGAGACCAACCAGGGTAAATTGGCAGCGGTGAATACCTTTCTTAGGGGCCGGTCGAAGGCGTCCCTGGATGCGGCCAGAAGGGGCCCTCGAAAGATGAACTGGGCCGCCGCGAAGGAAGTCCTTGCAGCGGAGTTCAACATGCGGGCCAACCGCCAGGAAGCTATGAGGCGGTTCATGGCGGCCGGATCTGACCCGACTGTGTTCTTCGTCGGCCTGCAGCAGTTGTTGGATCGCGCTTTGCCGGGGGTGGACGAAGTGTCGCGAAACCAGTTGCTGTCGGACCAGTTCGTCGAGGGTGTGCAGCCGGCGCTTGGTGCCTAGTTGCGGTTGGCACGAGCAACTGGCCAGTTGCGTGTAAAGAAGCTGGTGCGTCTGGCCCGGGAGCTGCCCGGGGAACCACTGGCCACGTTGCAGTCGCGAGAGAAGAGGGATGTTTCATCAGTGGAGGAACTGCAGACCAGAGTTGACCAACTTGCCGAACAGCTGTCAGCCGTGAAGACGGAATCGCGGAGGCACGCTCGAACCAGCTGGCGCCACATGTGTGGCAAGCCTGGCCACTGGAAGAATCAGTGTTCCAGTAACCGATCACTTGTACGCAATAAAGCTTTAGACCACTCCTCTTTTCCTGGGTGGGTCGCGATTAGCGCACCGACACAAGCTACCATACAAGTCATTGTCGAGGTAGACGGGAAAAAGTAGTTATGTTTGATTGATACCGGGGCAGGCGTATCGCTGAGGCAAAGAGGGAACCAAGCTGAACACAGACCGTGCGCGCTAGCCGTGAGAGCTGTTGGCGGATATCGATTGAAGATTGACGGACTGTCAACGCACTCGATACGCCTAGGCGACAAGTCCGTGCAGCACGCGTTCCTGATCAGCCCAGACGTAGAGCAGACAATATTGGGAGCTGATTTTCTCAAGGGCACAGATGCCGTGATTGACCTAAAGCAGGGAAGGCTGGTGACAAAGTATGGCGCAATCAAGCTTGAAGCTTATCCAGGCACTGTCGTGAAGGAGCTGTGTCCGAAAACTTCCGTCTTGTATCGTCAATACGGGCCGTGGTTGAGGAATATTCCGAACTGTTCACGGGCAATGAGGATCCTTTCGGCTTCTACCCGTGGATTGAACACGAAATTCTGTCATCAGAACGCTTTCGACCATGTGACCCCGCCCGCTGCCGCTCCATCTACGGGAGGAGGTCCATAGACAGATTCAGGAGATTTTGAAGAACGGTATAATCGAAGAAGCCAACAGTGTGTACAATTCCCCGGTTGTGCTTGTAAGGATGACGGACGGAAAATACAAGTTTCGCGTGCATTTCCGGCCCTTGGATGAACAGACCGTAAATCGGGTTGTAGCTGTGCCCTCGGTTGCAGAGATTTTCGACTCCGTCCAGCACTCCCGATACTTCACTGTGTTCGACTTGCATTCCGGATATTGGCAACTACCTATCAGCGGGGAGGACCGGGAGAGAACGGCGTTTACGGTTGGGCACACCCAATATCAATTTAGACGAATGCCGTTTGGTTTGTCCGGGGCAACATTCACATTTCGGCGCTTGATGCTTCGTGTAACGAAGGGACCCCAGAATGCTGCTGTGTACGGAGACGTTATCGTTGTGTACAGCAATTCGGAACCGGAGTACGTAGTTCACTTGAAGGCTGTGTTGGAGCGGATTCGGGAAGCTGGCATGCGGATAAATGAAGCCAAGACACAGCTCGCCCGGAGTTCGGTGAAACTGCTGGGGCATAAAGTGGGTCAGGGAGAAGTTAGCCCACTACCCGAAAAATTGGCAAAGATCAGGGATTGTGCTGTTCCCAATTCAAAGCGGTCTCTACGGCAGTTTCTTGGACGGGCAACATACTACAGCCGGTTCGTTAAGAATTTCAACACTATCTCTGCGCCACTGTACGATTTGCTCGGTCAAAATCGTAAATTCGAATGGACCGGAGAAGCACATGAAGCTTTTGAGCGTGTCAAAGCGCGGATGTCGGATCAGCAACTCACCCTCAAACTTCCCAGGGTCGGAGAGATGTTCATTGTTGCAACGGACGCCAGTGATCGCGGTATCGGCGCAGTCCTGGAACGCCACTGATTCAGATGTTGTTCTGCCCGTGATACCTCGCGTCTTGAGACGGAACCTCATCGTTGAATGCCATGAGATGGCACATACAGGGTACACCAAGACATACGACCTACTTCGGCAGAGGGCCTATTGGCCCGGGATGAGAAGTGAGGTGATAGATTAGATCACGGGCCTTACTTCGAGAGCGAAGAGTTTAGGAATTGCCTGCAGAAGCTGGGTACCAGACGGCTAAGGACGGCACCATACCACCCGCAAACAAATGGCCCGACCGAACTTAATAACCCAACGATTAAGGAGTGGCTTGCGGCCAAAGGAGGGGGCTAAGAAATAAAATTGCCAATGGTGTTGTTTGTTCATCGTGCTTCCACGCAGTCAACCACAGGCAAGTTCCCGTTTATGCAGATGTACGTTGACATCCGCGCCTTCCGGTTGATCAGGAAATTGGGTTGTGCACGGCAGAAAACGGCAAGTAGAAAGGTCCGAACGTTCCCTATCGATACCAAGGTCAAGTGGAAGGATCACCAGAATCCTAGAAGGAGTGGACTGTGGTCGCGGAAGCTGGACAGTCGATTGCAAAGGCCGTTTGCCGTAGCCGACCGCCGGGGGAACGTCTATACCATTCAGGATGGTTGGAGATCGAATGTAGTGAATTGGACGCAGCTTCGCAAGTGGCATGATACACCCGAAGAGCGGCTGAGTAGACCCGCTGCCGAAGCCGACCTGACGGGGGTCAATGAAAATCGATAGCATGCGAACTAGCTTTCAGGGGTGGAGGTGTGTAACGGTGATACCTCTGATGGGGAGGCACGCGAGTAGTACCAGTTTTTCGTAGCATTTCGCCTTACGTCTATTGAAAGGGGGACATCTCTCGTGGAATTCGTGGAGCCACTTCATCACGCTTACTTAAATTTGAACGACGAATGAGTGGGGTCAATGAATCTTTAGAAAAGCTTGGGAAGACGCGTTCGGGAGAAGGTGGGTGTCCAGTTTTTGTAAACAAGATGCAATTTAGAGTTTTGCTTCCATTTTTAATGGTCTGTAACCGGTCAATTGGCATTTCCTAATAAATAACTCCACAACGAAAGCCTTTTTCCTTTCACTGGTACTGTTTTTATCTCTTTGCTTGATAAAGTAGCCTTTTGATTGGCCATACCATTACAAATTTAGTGAGCCCAAGTTTTCTAGCTGATCATTCACGATACCCATTTTGATTTGCCTGAATCAGTTGAGAATACGATCCCGAAGTGCAGTTCCACCAGATCTATGCTATTTGCACTACCCGACGTATCACTCTTGATGCCACCCGTTTTTGTATGTCGTCCAACATCTTCCTAATGATGTAGAAACAAAAAAGAGGATCTTCAAAGAAAATCCCAATGGCGCTCTTCGAGCGGCTGTCCTAAGTAGAACAGGAAAATCTGAAAGTATGAGGCTTAGCAACGCGTGTGGTTTTACAAATAATGAATCTATGGAGTTTCAAAGGCGGCAAGTAGAAAGGTCCGAACGTTCCCTATCGATACCAAGGTCAAGTGGAAGGATCACCAGAATCCTAGAAGGAGTGG